GTGGATTTATCCATAAACATTGATTATATTGAAAACGTGTTTAAAGCCGTGCGAACTGAATATTAATTTCCCCCATTTTACGCTTACGTCTAATTTGAAAAAAAAAAAAAATAACTTATATTTTATATGAAAACTATTTTGAATGGAAATGATCATACAAAAAACCCAACCATTTTCCGCCCATTTCCCACCCTAATGAAGGAAGCTTCTTTTGTACAAAATGAATGATTTTAGCTAATATATAGAGATCTTACCTTGGCACCATAGGAGGTCGGTTTTCCGATTGAATATCTGTGGAACCTCATTATTTTTTTTTTTTTTTTTTTTTTTTTTTTTAAATCCTACCTAATGAAAACTACCCAAAAAAACAACAGTTTTCCGCCCATTTTCCACTTTAATGACGGAAACTTGTTTAATTAAATCCTATTAATAATTTGTGCTACTGAATACAGAGCTTACCTTGCTACCATGTTCTTAAAGAAAATCCCACGTAATAACGGAAAAGTGCATGATTTTGGACTAGCGGATTTTGTTCTTACCTCGGTACCATTGTAGGTCAGTTTTTGCATTAAATATCTGAGGATTACGACGCTGCAATTCCGCTTCGCTCAATTCCGCTTCAGTCTTTTTGGTTTTTAAATTTTTTGGCAAACAGAGCAGCAACAATGGCGGCTTATCATATTTAGAGGCCGGTATGCGTATACGATCGGGGCTATCGGTGCGTATAAACTGGGCCAGTTCTGACAACTGATCAAAGATGTGCTCATCGCTCTTGTGTTCCAGCTTCCATTGTTTGTCCTTGCGTATGATCTTGAATGTCTCAGTTTGGCATCGATCATGATCGCTGTTTCTGGCCACACTGCACAAAGCAAAAGATATGTTTGTTAATAATATAAATTTTGTGGGTCCTTATACCGTCGAGTTCTTATATCTTGCTTGAAGCTTACATTCTTGTATTGATATCAATATAATATGTGTTATACTCTCGATCGCACTGGCGTACAATATAGCTGCCGCACTTGTCGCCGTTCTCGTGCAGTTTCATAAATGAGTAGCCACCGCCGATGGGTCCGTGACAATATAAACGCTCCAACTCCTCCAGCGATGGTGTCTTATACGATGGACACAAGTCCTGCATCCATTTTACTGTCAATCTACAAATTGAACGCAATTAGTCTGTCCGAATGAATTGTTCCATGTTGAAAATCGTACCTTATATAAATGCCCAGATAGGATATAAACGATTTCATCTCATGTTCCGTTTCAAAACGCATATGATACCCCTTGGGAAAGCCAACGATTTCCAGACGCACGAGCTGTTCGCTCTCCTTATACAGCGAGAAAATATCTTCGACCACGGCCACAAGGCTCCACTATTAATTATAAAGGGGAGAGAGTTATTTGAAGATGTTGCAATATAAAATGGACAAGGTTAATAAGTAGATCATGAACGTTTGCTAATAGATAATATTTAATACAAGTCCGATATGAGAATTGTTAAGTTATAACGTCATGAAAAGGTTGAAATAATGCGATTCTGATATTAATTTTGTTGTGTTTAATCTACCCACTCGGCTTTATACTCAGTTGCACGGGAGGCTCGGTATATTTAGTTGTGTCTATAATTGAGAAATTGCTATAATAATTGGATACAGCCATTAAAGGCGAATGAGGTACGAAAATCTGTTATCACAGTCTGACTTTAGTTAGGTAGTCAAATTATGATCCCTTCAGTTTAAGGATATATAAAGATTTTCTGTACCCCAGTCACAGTCAGCTGAATCCAATGTTAAAGCTTTCTATGCATTGTTATTGTTTTTAATAAAGCTGCTTTCGGCTGACAAATTCTCTAATAACCCAAGACTTGTTAGTACTTGTCGGTGATATGCCAAAAATGTCTAAATCAGTTTAAAATCTAACTCTTTTCGGCTAACAACTACAGTAAATACCTAAAATCGGCTAGAAAATAACAGAATTGGCAAGAGAATTGTAATTGTCACTGTGATGCCAAAAAAAAAAAAAAAAAATAGCTAAAACAAACTCTGCAAAACTGCCTGAGGAACTCAAACATCAGCCCTATGTAGGTAGAAAATAACTGAATTGGCAAGACTAGTTAGTGCCTGTCGTTGTCGATGCCAAAGGAAAGGTTAAATCAATTCAAACTTTAAGCGGGCTGTTGCTTAGAAACTCTGACATGACCCACATTTAACTGGAAAATGGCTAAATGGGTAACACAGCTGATTAGGTGTCGCTGGAATGGCCACGAAAATAGCTGAATTATCAGAACTGGTCACGTTTTCCGCACTCTAGGCCCCCTAGGATGCAGTCTTGACGTCAGGAAGCCCAAAAACGTTACCTTTTTGGACTATTTTTAGCCATGGACAGAGTTTTGCGCAGTGCTTACGCCAGAAGGCAACGTTTGGCTGTCAAGTCGAATCAAATCAGTTGAGCATACTTCCTTTGCCCTTGGCACATATGTACGTAAAAGAAATGAGTCTTGCAGATTTAGCTCATGCCGTATCGTTTCCGAGAAATGCCCACAAATGTCAATTGCAGCTGTACCCACCTTTAGTGTGGCTTCTGATGTGACGCGCGCCACCTTTAGGCCAGGCTCGGGTGAATCATGATGAAATAGCCTGACATAGACGGGTATGGAGTTGGGCTGCAGCTGCTGCTGCTGGGAGGCCCTGTGACGACTTGGCTGTGGGGTCTGCTGGCTGCCGCGCAGTGTGTGGGTGTCGCTGCCGCTGTCGTTGCGCTGATTACCGGGCCCGGTTATCGTGGTAGAGAGGGTCGTATTGGAGCCTGTGACTAGCGTTGTGGTCGAGGTGCGCGTTGAGCTGGCGATGCTGCCGTTGCCATGGGGTGGCTCCGTTGTTGACTCATTGGGGAAATATTCGACGGTGGCATTAAACTGTTCGGTTAGATAGGTGGGCGCCAGGTCGCAGATCTGATGCACATAGTGCCACTTGAGGCTGTCCACGTTTGGTCGATTGCTGTTCAGACGTCGAAAGGTGCTGCGTATTTTGGAGCGCACAAAGATGCGGTGGGCGCGCCACAAACTGCGCGGCAAATAGCTCTTGTAGGCCTTCTCGACAGCCTGAGCCAGCAACAGCTGCTCCTCCCTGTCAATTACCATATCCATTACAGCCAGACCCATCACTTTGTCCCTCTGCTCTGGATAGCGTATCTCTGCGATCTGCTCGTGCAGCATATCGTAGCGCATCTGGTGATACAAATACTTGTGGCAGTGCACATCAATCACTGGCAGCTGTCTGTCCAGTTCCGGGACACGGAACCGCATCCGGAAACAGTAGCGCACACTGCTATTTAGCAGTTCGCCGGGCAGCTGCCACTTGTGCTTTACTTTAAGCGTCATCGGTGATGTCTCGGTGCCGTTGCTCTGCTCGCGTATACCGAACAGCAGCACCGCTGTGGGCAGTATATCCATATGGCGGCACATTATGGTGCATATCTCCTCGCAGTGAAGCGACGGCGAGAACTTTTCATAGTCGCCCCTGCGATAATTGTAGACGTGGATGAGGCCATCGTTGGCAATATTTTGACTGGAGCTGCCGCTCTGCAGCGAAGCTGTTGCCAAGCTGGCGCTGTCCGCCAAAGAGGTGCGTCCGCTGCTGCTGTCGTCCATTGCGTAGCGGCTGGTTACGCTACTCCGTGCGCCAAAATATAAAAATTCAATAAATCTGACCGTCTCGCACCCGCCGACGCCTGCAGATCGCAGACGTTAGCTACGCTCTCAAATAAATTCACTTTATGCGTTATTTTAATGCTTTGAGCAGGTGCAGCCACAGCACCAAATCAAAACAATCGAACGAAATAATTTTGTTCTTTTCTATGTTTCTATTTTTTTCGCCTATATTTGGCTTAGGTGGTGCCTTCGTCGGTGCCTCATTAATGTGCCGTGTTTCTATTGCTGTGCTAATCAAGCACTAACTTGCACTTCGTTTGAATTTAAACTAACTACGTTGCGCAAAAAATGTAAATACAGCGGAACGGAAAAAAAAATAATATGCAGTATTAGCATTGATTGTTTTTGTCTAGTCAATTTCTTTGAGGCAAATATCGATAACTTGTTGCAGACGGCGCTGCGTGATTTTACAACACTCTCGGTATTTACTGTCAATATTCTGGCAACTCTGTTAGTGTGTCAGTTTTTATATAACCTCAAAACTAAAAATTTCAAGTATCGGGCGAGAAGAAAACAGTTTTTTTTTTGTGTAATAAATTCACTGAAAACTTGACGAAAAGCGTTAATCATATATACCAGCTATGTCCGACTTCGAGAATCTATCCGGCAATGATAAGGAGCTGCAGGAGTTTCTTATGATTGAAAAACAAAAGGCACAGGTCAATGCACAGGTATACAATACAATTGAGAATATCACATTAGTTAATTGCACATTTAATAATAACCACATATCCCTCTCACAGATACACGAGTTCAATGAGATCTGCTGGGAGAAATGCATTGGTAAACCAAGCACCAAACTCGACCATGCCACAGAGACGTGCCTCAGCAATTGTGTGGATCGTTTCATTGATACATCGCTGCTGATAACACAGCGTTTCGCTCAGATGCTGCAAAAGCAGAGCTCCGGTGGCATGTAGGGGCCCTCAGAGTAACTTAGGTAGTTAACGTTGTGGAGCGCATCAATATGCGTGTGTGGTGTTGCAGACCAAAGACAAACACGAATCTGGACCTTGTATTATCCCTTACCCAGCTGCAATTAACACCATGTTCCATGCTCTTTGCACACGTTTAAAAACAAAAACAAAACAAAAACTAATTCTAAAATTACCTTGTAAGAAGTTGTTGTGTGTTTGGCTGATAAGCCAAATCCGGACAATGCGGTGCTAAATTTTCATTCTGTCGTGCACCGTGCGTGTTGCTGACGACGTAACTTCGAAATTCTGAAACCAAAAACCTTAAAAGCAAACCAGACAAGATCCAACTACATATACATTGTACTATATTGTTGTTGTTGTTTTCTTTCTTTCATCTTCTATAATAGTTGAATGTTTGCTACAAATTAAATGAACAATGAACAACAATGTTAACTAACTACTACAGTTGCCGCTGTCTCGACTCGTTTTGTTCCTTTTTCAGCTGACGGTACAAATCGACCATTTTGGTGCGCTCGCCCTCGAGCATGTTGCGCGTAGCTGCGGGCAAATCCTTGCGTTTGCCCTTGAGTTGAAGTTTCGTTGGCGTACTTGCGGCTTTCTGTTTGCTGGCTGCGGCATTTTGAGGACTCGCAATTGACGCTGGCGCCTCTTTATCCAGCAGAGACTTAAGCAACAGATTCGACTTGCGGCCAGGTCGGGGCACAGTCTCAGTCTTGCTTGCCTTACGCGGCAGCGTCTTTAGCGACGGCGGGCCATGCACAATTTCGCCAAATTTAAATACATCTTGCTTATACTCTGGAAGTGGGCCATCCTGCAAATGAGAGCAATGAGAGCGTTAAAGCTTACAATACACTATTTAATTGGGGCAGGTTACCTCTAGCTCTTTCTCTTCTTCGGCTTCCTTGAAGGCGCGCTTTATAAGCTCTTTGCGTGTCTTGGCATCCATGCCGGGCTTTACTACTTTATTGGGTTTTCTACGTCCATTCTTGAGATTATGGCGCTCTTTTTGCTTCTGCTTTAAAAGCTCATCGATCTCATTTTTGGGGCGCTTCTGCACAGTTATTTCGCCCGTTGTCGGATTCCGTATAACACTGACCCCATATTTGGCCTCATATTGCGCCTCTCTGACGGAAGCGCTAGTTATACGATTAACTCGTCGCAGGTACTCATCATTTGTCTCGTTATCAAACTGTTTGATCTTGGTCGATTTTTGTCCACCCGCTGCAGCTGGTTGGGTCTTTTTTGTTTTTGGCGCTTTGGGCTTGTCCTCTTTACCTATACTACCAATTTTAATCTTTTTGCCCGCTTTGGCGGCATCGGCGATTCTCTTGAACTGTTTGAAATTGTGCGAGGCGCGCTGTTCTTCGTTTTGCGTCGGTGGATTATTTGTCACATTGGCCAGCCTGGGTGGTAAAATGCATTAGCACAAAAACTGACTAAACAACTGTAAATGACATACTTTTTCTCCTTCTGTTCGATTTGCTTAAGTGGATCGCGTATGCCATGATGCTTACGCACTGGTATTTTCCGTTTTCTCGCCATAATAATAAACGTCTGTTAGCACAAACAACGTCGACTCGTGGTCACGTTTACTCAAAATAGCGGCAACAGCTGATTTTTGTATAAATATCGTCGATATATATATCGATGAGAAGCGCACTAGTCTAGTGATGTGAGTTCTAAAGAGTATCGAAGCTTAACATGTGAAATGGATCATCCTTGCTGTGATCTATTCAGAAATAAAACAATAATTTTCTTTAATTGCAATAGAAGTTGGGTGTTACACATTTTTTTATTGACACATTAAGACACTCCCCGTTATAAACCTGTTTGGTCAATGTTTTTATTTTCAATATCGAGAGCAAAACATCGATATTTCGTAATTTTTTTTATTGCTACTCTGGCCCTAACTAGGGCCGGCATGTTATCGAAGTGGTTTTATCCCAGGACTGCATAATAATACATACTTATAGGCACAGACACGCACACACACACACACAAGCTATTTGCAGGGATTATTAAGTATGTATTGCATGCAGTACATTTTTTCAATTTGTATCTTTACACACATATACGACCACAAACCCATGTACATATATGTATGTATGCATGTGCCCGTTGCATTTGCCGTGTGCTCACAATGCAAATGCAACGCGCATGCGCCAGATATGCGAGCAGTAGGCAAAGCAGGCAGCCACAACCAGCAGCCAAGTAACTTGCGAGCTTATAAGAGAGCAGAAAATCGTAATATATTCAACGTGCTTCATGCTAAACGCAAACAGTAATTTATTTATATTTAACATAAAATGCTCGAGGCCTGTGCCAAGCAAATGTCCTTTGATGTGTGAACGTGTATGTAATACAGAATTGTGTTATTTTTTCCATTGTTAGTGACAATAGTTTGTTAATAGCCCAATGCAATTCGCATTGACAAATGAATACGGAAAATAGTGTGTACATAAGTATGTACAGGCATACATATTCAAGTAAAAACAGGGCAAAAAACAAAAAAAAAAACACGGCCGTGCGTGTTTTCTATTTTTTCTTTAATTTTTTTTATGCAAATGTACACATAAGGATATACATAATGTATTTGTATATACATATGTACCAGGGATGTTGTTCAAAAATTGATAGTGACGACTGCCCTGGGGCCGAATAGCAGCAAGCAAATAATCAAATACATAGTATCTTATACATACATACAATTGTGCGTATGTATGTACATATAGATTTGCAGTCACATGTATGTACATATGTACGCGCTACACATGTATGCGTGCGTGTAACGTGACAGCCGCAGCATCAGCTGCCAGAGCATCAGTGAGCTCATAACGGTGCGCGGAAACGTCAAAACTTCTTTATTCAACTTTTTGTTCGTGAGTGAAAAAGTTTCTTTATATGAATGTGTGTGCATAAGCGTACATAGCTTACATATATACATATGTATATATATATATGTAACAGTAAAGTATGCTATAAACTTTATAGTGCACATATAAGTAAACATGTATTTATGCATGTATGTAAAACATAGAACAATTTAATACAAATAAACTATGTTTGCTTTCTTTATTTGCATAACACAAGTTTTCATAATGCAATAAACGTATATAATTGAAGTGTTACTGGAATAGTCACATTTATAGGAACATCTTTTAAAGGCCTACATTTAGGAGTTCGCTTTCCACTAAGGAGAGCTGTTAAATATAAAAAAAAAAAAACTATAAAAAAAGTAGTTTTGTTAAACAAATAACATGACAAATGCATGCTGGCACAATATAAACATAAATGATACTATCTACATATGTATGTACATATGTATGTACACAAATGCATTTGTCTGCCCCGCTTTGGCGGCAAATTCGGCAAATGTTGCTCGCAATATTTTATTTTTATTTTTATTTAATAATAAGCTAATAAGAAAAAACACAACTTCGTGTGCTCGTCGTTTCGCTGCGTTTCTTTTTTTTCGTAACAAATTCCCGTAATGTTGCCTAAAACATAAATACAAGTATAAATACATGCATACATATATAAACTTGTGTTCGGTGTGTGGCATATACTACATTTGCATAGACATTTGTTTGGCTTATCTAAAAATACCGTACATAAATTCAAAAGGCAACTAAAAGAAATAAATCTTGTATAATTGCAATTGCTTTTGTATGCGAGCGTGTACATTAATAAATGCTCTTACGCACACACACACACACACACACACACACACAAACATAAAGCGAGCCAAATAAGAATAACAAATTAATTTATTAATTTTCCCAACTAACAGCAACACAATTATACATACATATATGTACATGCATGAGCTGCTATAAAAATACATGCATAATATATGTATATGTATGTACATAGTTTGCTTACGTACTATCGTACATACATACGTACATGCATACATAGAGAAGATTCGCTGAAATAAGCGCGTTTAGCTGTCACCTAACTTAAGTCAGAATTCAAGCGACTTGCGTCAAGGTCACAGCATAATTTATCGGCCCTTTAAATAATCGAACTGGAAATCGAATGTGTACGCACACTACGAATATGCATAAGCATAAGCATAGCGGTATCTTTTTATAGCATACTTTAATGAGTTCTCCTTGATGCGTGCGTATGTGTGGATGCGTGCGTGCGTGCGTGCCTAATGCTCGCACGTGTAACCCATATACATACAAACATGCACATGTATGTGTGCATGCGTGCGTGTATACGTATGCATAAATAAACGCTATACGCACATCCAGTTGCTTTAATTACACTACACTATATTTGGCTTGCTGTGGTTTGGCTTAAACCACTTGAGTCGTGCAATTCAACTCAGGACCTTTGAGCGTGCATATTAAAAGGCTTTCATTGCGTATATCAATCATACGGCACGTATAATTAGAGTAATTGCCACTAGCAAAGAAAAGCAAGCAATACAATGCATTCCACGCAGCGAAATATACGTAAATTATTAAAAGAGCGCTGGCAATCATTCGTCCTTATTGCCAAACGACAGGATAAGACGGCAGTAATCGGCTTGTAATGCCAGCCAAAGGTGATTGAACTTGCCGGCGCTGCCACTTTAGCCACACACACACACACACACACACACACACACACACACACACACACACACACACACACACACGCACACAATAATTCGCATTTGCCCTCTTGCTCATCAGCTTTTTCCTTTTCGTTTTGCTTTTCATTTTTCTGTGCTCTCTTGCTTCGATTATTTTAAGTAATATGCATACTTTTGTAGAAAAAAAAAACCGCTGCTCATAAAGGCAATGGAAATATGCCTAATGTTCTCACTTGCTGGGTTAATTAAGTATGAAAATGTTGGTACTTAGGAAACGGAATTGTTTTTAAGGGACATTAGGCACTAGGAACAGCTTGGAGTGGAATGTTTGCATGGATTACAAGCATATTTATGTATGTATGCGTGTTATTCGTGATGGCGGTGATAAATCTGTGCTGGATCCCATTCATTATGATCATCATCCGAAGCCATGCATACATAAAATGTGAATGGAATTCATTGTAAATTCAAAAAATTAACCGTTGCAAACGATCCTTCACACTCACAGCAGAAACTCACTCAACGTCGCAGTCGGCAGTCGGCAGTCGGAGCAGAACGAGTGAGAAACGAGCCGCGTCTGAAAATGAACTTTTAGGCACACCGCTCGCGGCGAACAGTGTTGCCAATATTTTGTAATTTTAAAACAAAAATGTTGCGGTCTTAGCAAATGATTGTGACTTTTAAAAACAGTTATTTCGGCATAAATATGTTACATGTCAATAAACTAAAGTAGGTCGATAACTGAGAGGTAATGGGAAAACTACTTATAATGATTGCACATTTTCAATTTCCATTTATTAAAAAATCTTAATAATGACATGCCTATTTTATTTTATTTTTTTGATTAAAGGACCAGCTTTGGATCGAAATAGTATATTACAAGCAATTAATTTGTATTTACATGTGCTTTGCACTTAACAATTTAAATTGCTTTTTATTTATTCTCTTTTTGCTTTTGATTATTTCTCAAATGTAACTCGGCAACACTTTTTACGAGGGACTTGCTCACACGCTCGGCCAGTTGCTCGAGTTCACTCGAGTCAGTTGCTGTATTGTGGGGGCGCGGGTGCGACGGCTAACGGTTCCCAAGCATGAATAGCGTAGTATTCCTGCAATGCTCAGGCACGCGTGAGGCAATCAGTTATTGTTCGTTCTGCTTATGTACATTTCAAGTATTCAAATATACGAAAGATTCTTTAAAATCAGCCTGCCTCATACAATTTGCTGCGAGAGCAATAATACAAAACAAGCAAGCGAATTCGCTGAAATAGCGCAAAAAGAGACGCACTCATTTATATCTACATGCATATGTATGTATGCATGTTTTGCATGTGTATACATGCATGTGCATATGTATACGTACATATGTATGCATGTATAGCCGCCACATATCGGACAGCAGACGACAGATACCAGGAATCAGACAATAGCCGCCACAAGAGAGACAAACATTTTGGGCGACAAAAATTTCGACACTACGGTTTTTTTTTCGTATTTATTTTATTTTTTGTTGTTTTCTTGAATTCGTTTCAAAAAATTTCGAACGTGTGCGTGTGTGTGTGTGTGTGTCCGTGTGCGTGTTTTTATTAAGCTACATTTCCATCCAGAATATTTAATTGAAGTAAAGAAATTTGTTAAATACATACATGCATACATACGTACGTGTACATATGTTATTTTCTGTTTTGATTTCTTTTCCAGATCGTCTGCCGCCAGATTCAATTCGCTTTGAATATGAAATATGAAATGAAATCAATTTGACTTGTAATATGCACATGCGTGACCAGAAATAACATACACACACACAGAGATACACACACAAACACACACACATAGACACACACACACAGACACACACACACGCACACACTCAATCATAGTGAATAACTTGAAAGTTTTGTGACGTCAAAATTGAAATTAAAATTTATAAACGTAATCGACAACTGCCGAAAATATTTACAAAACAAGACAAACTGAGTGCATAAATAATATCTTTATATGTACATACATATATACATATACATACATACATACGTATCTGAACTAAATCAAGACCAGAGAAGTGAACAATCAAAATAATAAACAAAAAGCGTTAAGAATACACACACATACATATTTATGTGTGTATATGACAGGTGTATATATTTGCAATAATTATGTATGTATTTAGTTACAGAGCCAAAGGCATGCATATACATGTGTACATACATATGTATGCATGTTTGTAGATAGCGCATACGTGTATACATGCTTATGAACTCACACACACGCACAGATACAACTCGCATAACAGATATTACAGCAAATCCCATAAACAATAGTGATATATACATACATACATATACATGCATATATATTTATATATGCATGTATATTTATGCATGTGTGTATGTGTGTTCATATATGTGTATTCATATAGAGTTTAACGACATTCAAATACACAAACAAAGCTAAAGCAACAGAAACAACAACAACAACAAACAGCAACAACAAAAACAAAAAACAAGCAACAACAACAACAACAACAGCTACAAAATGCCAGTGAAAAAGCAAGGTAAGCGTATTTTCCTGTTTATCATGTTTATTTATGCAACAAAATGTTTAAACATTTTGCGGTACATTGACTAATTGCACAAAATAAGCACATACTAAGAGAAAAATCAAGCGTCCTTAGAGCTAAAACTAAAATAGTTCATGAATTAAAATAAAAGGGTAAACATGTTAGACTTTCGCAAATAGTTTAAAACTACGAGAGTTTTTAATGATGTGCTTGAAACTTAGTTAGTTTGTGCAACTAAAGTTCATTAATTCGTTTAATTAGCAATTTTAGTAACTTGTTTAAGGGGTTCGTAATTAGGAAAATTGTTGGGAAAACGTTTGTAAACGTTAAAAGTTGGATTTCGTATAGATCTTAGATCTTAATAGTTAGTATAAATAAAGAATATAGATCTTAATAGCTAGTACAGTTATAGGATTTAGATCTTAATAGTTGGTATTATAAAAGATCTCAGATCTCAGATAAGATCTCTAAATAGTATATTGAATAGAAAGGGGATCGATTGTGTTTCAATTAGGATCCAGCATAATAAGTCAAATATCTTATAAGAATGGGACAAATGTCAGCCAATCCCAATTAGCCTGTTTTATAGAGAGATGGAATACCAGTGTTGACACCTCAGCTATTTACCAGCTAAATATGGTTATTTTCAGAGAAAACAGCTAAAACTTTTGTACAAATCAGGTTTGAGCTGAAAAAGAAAGTGCGCGCCGGCCTTGAACCGAAAGTTATCAATCCGGGCACCTAAACCCGAAATCGGTTTAGTTAGCCAAAGAACAGCCCAAGTTTTGTCAAAGAAAACATAAAGTATTAACTAAATATACATTTAACTAAATTCCCCTACAAAAAGCAAATGCCTCTAGGCGAGCCATAGCTCCGAACCGTGAACCGAACCAAGCAACATCTTTTAAAATGATTTGACATTTTCGCATGCAATATACGCTAGTCTATTGCACCAAAACAATAAATAGACAAAAAAAAAATGAAGAAGAAGAGAATAGACAAATAGAAGAAGCAGCAAATTAGAAACAAGCAAATGCTGCCAAACTTTTGAAATGGGCAATAAATGAAGGTCAACATAAGTATGTGACGTGCTTCCGAAGAAGCCAAAGATATATGTGTATATATGCACACACACAGTCAAATGTGTGTATGCATATCAATTTGTTGGCAAAAGCCTCGCGGCCGGGCATTGGCCAACTTTATGGCAATGTCATCCAGGTTAGACTGTGCACTGACCCCAAAGACTCCGAGCCTGAAACTGTAACCAAAACTGATGCAAAGCCAGAAAGGTAAAGCATAAATAGTTGGGGGCCTGTAAATGTTGGTCGTTGAGGGGGGGGGGGGGGGGGGGGGGGGGGGGTTAGCAGCTAATTTTGCCTCTGTTCTGTTTTTTAAGTCAATCTTTATTGATTTATTGAACTAGAGGCCACACACTATGTACCTGGTCCCCTATGCGGATGGGTTATTATAAAGCAGTACGACACGGTCTCCGCACAGAGCCAGTTGCTGCCGGTTGCTGTGTAGTCTAGTGTTTAGTGTAGTCCAGTGTAATTGGGTTATATACGAAAAATGGACTCGGACACGGATTCGGACCGGGAGAAGAGCAGCGATCCAAATGAGGAGCTACTCAGCAGCGATGATAAAACCTTTCACGATGACGACGACGAGGATGAGGACGAGGACGAGGACGAGGACTCATCGGCAGTTGATGATGTTGACAACTTAGATACGGTCGATCCAATTAAGCAAATCGATGCAGAACAAGCACAATCCACAGCAGACCAACTGCTGGTGGTGCTCATGCAAACAGAAGCCATAGAAATGCAACTGCAGCAAATCGATGTCGAGCTGGATGTAAATGTGGCTGCCAAATCAGTGGCAGCAGCCAGCACAGCTCCAGAGCCGCCGGTTGCCGACCACGAAGTGGTCGGGGAGCCAGTTGGCAACCAGCGCCGGGTGCCGACCGAGCCGCTTGTTGCCAAGTGCAGCGAGAGCGTGCGCGAATCTGTCGAATGCTTTTACTCGGCACAGGATCTGCTCGAATATGGGCATATGCTGGCATCCACGGCGGAGCAGCGCACGCCGGACGTCGAGTCCGGCTATTTTGACAAGTCGGAGAGCGATGATGTTTCGCGCGAAGAGTTTGAGGCGCAATCGTGCAGCCTGCGCCGACCCAGAGGCCCACAAACGCTGCCCATCCTCTCCAGCCAAGCGCTGGCATCCACCGCCAGCAGCAGCAGCTCGGAGAGTCTACGCATTGAGCTGAGCCGCTTTTGTAGCTCCATTGAGACGTTCGAGCTGCAGCAGCAGCAACAACAACAAGAACAACAACCGCAGGAGATCTCACTGCCGGCAGAGGTGCCTGCAGCTGGTGGGGATTTGACAACGGACGAACGATTCCTTGATACACAAAGTGAGACATATGTTATGCAGGTGTTTGGTCTAGGTAAATGTAACGATTGGCTAATGTCCCCCGTCGGGTCATCAAATCAGATATACATATAACAAGCCTTCCAACTAAAGATATGGAATATATATATTATGCCACAGCGAGCAGGTGAATTGATGAAAAAATGTGAAATAGATAAATACTTGAAGGCGAACAACTAATTCGAAATGAGTTATGTAATTGCAATCAATCCGTTTTCCAGCCTTGCAGGTGAAAATTTTCAAAGTCTTAACCTTAAACTTCACGATAAAGTTGAACTACATTAATAAATAAATATCTATTTAGGTATATATTAAAGGGCGGCACATTCTAAAAGATTCTCGCTGGTTCGTTGCACGGTTTGAACCAGCACGCTGGTTTTAGTTTCAGTTCGGGAACTTTGCACAGCCTTTTTTTTTTCCATATTAAAACTAAATTTGAATTTCGGCCGCGCATCGGTGCGGCTTGCAGCCTAGGTAAACATATATTTAGATCGAACTTTTTCTTATTCCAACACCCTATAATCAATATCATGCGTATATATAATATTTTCTGTTTGTTTTTTCGTCTTTTTTTTTTGGCATTGCAGAAGCTCATCGAGCCCTTGAACTGCTCGAGGATTATCACGCACGTCTGTCGGAGCCACAGGATCGAGCTCTGCGTATCGCAATCGAACGGGTCATCCGCATTTTTAAGTCTCGCCTATTTCAAGCGCTGCTCGGTGAGTATAACACAATTCTTCGTATATATATTTATTGATAATATTCAGAAATCAGTTAGCATTTGGAAAGACCTCAGAATAGTCTATATTATATAGCTAAACATGAGTTCTGGAGTATAAAAAGTGCATAAATTGAAATTTAGATATATAGATATTTAGAAATATTCAGATATTTGTTTGTCTGATTAATGTTTCGAGAAATGTTATTGGTTTTCTGAATGCTGGGATACTCAACAGTCCCATATATAACCTCGGCTGAGATGACTTGAAATATATGCTTAAGCTGATAACATCATGTCCGTCGGTCTGGTATTCGGTTTCATTGTAAATCCAAATGCTGTGCACAGCTCTCTCTGGTTTTTGTGCTGAGTCAAGCAGACGAGGACGGAAATCGTACAAATCCATAACTTGATACACATTACGCCAAGTGTCAGGCGTTGCATAAACAAACGTCTCGTTAGGGCAGCTGTTGCTAATTCTATCTACACATACACACTTTGTGTCCCATGTATCCAATTTATGCACATACACCATATATATATATATATATATACTTATATATACGGGCGTATATATATGCAGGCATTTTCCTTGCTATCCACATTGTCTCGCTCGTGGGCAGGGTAGAGATATTGACGTGTGCAGGAAATTGAATTGACGCATTCAGCTTTACATTTAGGCCACTTGACTTTCGCCTTATTGATGAGCATGGGCCAGACCCAAATGCGAACAAACACACACACGCCCCCAACTAACGCTTGACCTAAAAACTTTTCACATGCCAACCAGTCAAGGCGTTATCCGAAACTCAAATTGAGCACAAGCTTGTGTGTATAATAAGTGTGCTCTGGTCGGTAGTGCGTGACTGGCAGATACCCTGTACAGCTCCATACACATAAACGCAACACACACGCACGCATGCTGCGTCTTTTTTTGGGGTTGGCATTCTTGCATAACTCGGGTTTTATCGATTCGATCCTTATAAAGTTTTCAGGGCTTTCAGATAACACCCAAATGTGTTTACATACTAAAGCACAAGGCTCTAGGCGTACAATCTTTTTGTTGATATGGAGAGATCGGAAGGAGATATTCAAAAACTAAAACTAAACGTATCCGGCTAATTTGGCACTTACAAATAAAAAGTTCGTAATTTGGCAAATTAGGTACCTATAGTTCTTCCAATTCCGATTTTTGGTTTGCTTTAATTGAGGGCATATATAGCGACAGACAAGCATGAACTAGATCGACTCAGCTCGTCATTCTGATTAAGAATATATTTACTTAGAAGTTGCTTTCCTCTGTCCCATTTTTTAAGCCATTTTTAATGGATGCAAGTTCAAGAATATGGTTTTCCGAATCGCATCTGCATTGGCTTAAACCGTTAAAGAGTTATAAAGTAGTAGCTCGAAGATTATGCGAACCTATAAAATATAAGAGTAGGTAGAAAAGAATTAAAAAGAAATTGTGTTATCTACGACTTTCAAAGATGTCAACTCCAAGCTAAGCTCCATGTATTGTAAAGTGTGCAATGTGCCCCAATTAATATATTTTATTTCGCATTTCAGATATACAAGAATTCTATGAATTAACATTATTGGATGACTCGAAGAGCATACAACAAAAGACCGCCGAAACATTGCAAATTGCAACCAAGTGGGAGAAGGATGGACAGGCCACAAAGATAGCCGATGTAAGTGTATATATATCTATATCTATATATCTGTATATAATAAATGTTCCCTGATTAGATAAATAGATAAATATTATTCGTAGCTGTTCAAGTGAATAACTCGTAGAGCATAGAGCTGAAAGTTTCTATTGTAAATATTTTCGGAATGATATAGAAAAATATCAAAAGATACTACTTATTTGTGTAGATCGTGTAGTTATTTTTACTTACAAATGTTTAGTAAAAACTAACCCGAGATAATCCAAGCGTAAAGTTTTCGATTTCCTATTGGATGCATTATCAAATCATTCGATCATTAAAAATCCTGCAACTCCATATAAATATGCCTGGCTCTCTATAAATATATATAGTAGAATCTGATTAGATAGCTATAACATCTGGAACTCTATCTCATGTTGCTCTCTCTCACTCTCTCTCTCTATCTCTCTCTCTCTCTCTTATATTCTATCTCTGCCTTATGTCTTTAATCCTAACCTACTGTGCAGTTTATAAAAACTACCAATCTAAATCGCAATTGCGTCTATGAAATTAACAACGATGCCACAAATCCCAATCCAAGTTCAAATCTTAATCAAAACGCGAACGCAAACGTGGCCGCGCATGCCGAGGCCTTGAGCAGAACATTTAAAAATGAATTGGAAGAGATTTTGGTAAGCACATTAATTCATCCATTTCCGTATCATAATCATACTACAATTAACAATATAATCATATAAATAATTATCTATCTAAGTGTCTGCGGCTACCGGGCAATATATAATTCGTCAGATATATTTTTTATGAAAATCTATATAATTATTTTCGATTTGTTTATGTCTGATGTTACTTATACAGGAAATATCTAGAGATAACATTCTATCTGACGTATCAATCATATCATACCAGTTAAGAGCGTATATTTAATCCTCTTAATATTGCTTATTATAGGGAAAGATAGTCGCACGATAACAAGCTTACGTAGGTATATATATTTTATAGGTATATATATATATCGGTACTTGTGACAGTTCGGATTATTATGTCATGTAATTGACATGAAAAAATTTCTATAAATTTCCAATTTCATTTATTTTGCCAATTTTGTTTCGTTTCGAACCGGTTAAGTTCGTACACCTGGTATCCCATAAACCACATCTCCAGGTACTAAATTCTAAACTTAGCTTATCTATCTATTTCGTTCATTCATATTTTATTTATTTACATTTGCCCCGTTCTACTGAAAATATTGTTTAGCGTATATATTTTCACATAGAAGTCACGGGCTAAATTTGATCTCTGCCCAAAATTGGCATCTACGAAATATTCTTAGATGAACCCAATGATTGGGGCTTATGCTCCCTTAAAAGTTTTTTTTTTATGTAAGCCAAACCATCTTTGAAAATAATTTGTTTCGGGTTTCGATTCGTAATAAAAAAAATCAAATGTAATTCCGAGTTTGAACCGGCTTACTTATTTATCGATAACAACTATATATCTGCCTATCTAATTGAGCTTGGTTAAAATCAGATTTATCAGGAAGTCTGATATCTTTGAAATGTGAGAAATATATTTTTGCTGCATTTTCTCATTGAGTTGTATATTTCATGGGAATAACCATATCTATATGCGTTGACGAACCAAGTTCAAACATGATAACTAATAATAACTAATATGGGAATCCAACTAGAATTTCGGGTGTTATTGATAAGTATAGTCTATGCTGCGTGTAAATCGATTAAGGAGATTACCAAAGCAATCATCGGGACTTGCTTGAGCTTGATTGATTGATTGATTGTGGAACTGATCTGGGCGGGTGTTTTTTTGGTAATATATATATGCATATAAATATGAACAGTTAATGGCTTTTATGTATACCCAAGTATGTGTGTGTGTGTGTTAACGAAAATGCGAGAGTTGTTTGCGTGCGCGCAAAAGCGTAAAGTTGAAATCAGTATGCAGTTAAGCAAAGCAAAGTTTTTGCTCAGGAAGTGCTCAACTAGAAAAGTGTCAAAACGTTTGAGGCGGGTCAATTTCACAGGTTTTTACTGTAATACAAGCCTTGATTGCTTTTCTCGCCTTCTTTTATTGCTACCTCCCGCTGTTTCCCTCCCTTCTCTCTCTCTCTCTCTCTCTCTCCTTCGCCCTCGCTCTATTCCTCTGTTCGACCTGTTTGTGTGGGTCTGTGTGTAGCCAAGCAACCGTTGGGCTAACACACACACACACACACACACACACAGAAACGCTTTCAAATTTGATAAGGACTTAACTGTTAGCGTCGTCTGTTTTGTATTTGCAACATGATTTGTGTTGACCCAGTCAGGGGCAGAATAACGGGAACATGTTCTTGTACAAGCTTCTTGATGAGAGTGGTCGGAGGGTGGTGGGGGGGGGGGGGGGTGTGTGTGTGGATGGGCGCCTTCACGCCTTGCACTCGTGCCGCCCGCTTATGCTTGTGCTCCTGCCTCGGGGTCGGGTCGCAACCGTTCGTCTGTTCGTCGTTTTGTCCTGCGCCGACGCTGGCCTTTTGTTATTGTAGAGGCGATATCCAGGCTAAAGCACGTATAGCTGTTGACATGCGTAGTACGTTAACGTAGAACGTAAGTCAACGTATGTAAGACATACGTAACCGTGTGCCTGTCTGTGTGTGAGTGTGTGCACATATATACATACATATATACTAGCTTCTTAGTATGCATGCAAATGTAGCGACAGCTTTTGGTGATTTTCTTTTGACCAGATTGCACACTGATAACTGATAAGGATGTGAGCGGAGAGCGCGGGGGAGAGGGGAGGGGGTTTGGGGTGTGAGGCGCATTTTCAAGGATATGCTTGTGCATAAAATGCAATATCATCAATTGCTCAATAGCCAAGATTAACGATTTAACTAATGCAAGGCGGCACAGTGCTTAAACGCTCAACACAGACCCTTACCTCCTGCCCGCCCCTTTTTAACGATGCCTTTGACTATTAAGGTTGTTGTTGTTGTTGTTGCTGCTGCTGCTGCTGCCTCTGCTGCTGCTGCTGCTGCTGCTGTTGGCGCTGGCGTTGGCACTTCGTGCGTCGCGCGTGGCAGTAACAACAGCGTCGTCGACGTGTCGAGTCGCACAACTTTCGCGTATCCGTCAACTGTCTCCGTCTCCGTCTCCGTCTCTGTCTCCGCCTCCGTCTCCAATCCCATCGCCTGTGTGCGCACTGTCGTTAGGTCGCCATCGTGTGCAAATTGCCCGGCATTTCAAAATTGGTTGGATTCGAGTTTTAAACACTTTTTGCTCGTGGCTCTTCAAATTGATTGTGTGCTGGATTTCTCTTGAACAAGTTCTCAACAAATTGCTAGCAAATTAAACGGGTCCTAAGAAATACCAGGTCAAATATATGCATATGCAGTTCAGATATTTTACATATACAATTTTTCAATACTACAAATTCAGTTACAAAATTGGCACATTATCCAGCGAAACACACACACACACACACACATGCCCCTACATATAGTATACGCATATGGCGAACAGCTGTTAAACATTAATGTTATACATACACACAAAACAAATACAATTTCTGCTGGCGCTGTTAATTACAACATGTTGCTATCTCGTTCTAACACAGCAAAAGCTTGCAAGTGTCATCCTCAGCGTAGATGCTGGCAAATGTTAAGTGTTGCCACAGTTTCCAAAGGGTTTAAATCGTGCGCTGATCTCAACGCAAAACTGTTTTACCTGTAAGATACATAGAGCAGTGCTTATATACATATATGTATGCATATGTATATATAGTTGTGTATATGCATAGTTGTTTATTTATGTATGTATTGTATTTACTGTGTATTACGTATACGCTTTGGCAATGTTTTCACAAAATATTTCGATGTCTTTACTTGTAGCCAGACAACTGCACATACACATTGACATATGTACACACATACATGCTTATGCACATATGTATGTACGTATGTAGCATATTAACTCAGTCGGCTTTTCATTCAGCTTTTCTTCGTTGGCATTGGGCAACAAATAAAATGTATATGTATATATATCTATATATGTATATATATGTATTAATGTATGTGCATACATATAAGTATTATTATTTTGTTTTTTGTTTTGGCAGCTTGCTTCACAGCCGCCCGTCGTCGCTGCCGCCTTTTGTTGTCTTTCGCCAGTTTTTCGCGCACATTCGATTGAAGCGCTAAGAAACGCGGCTTTTTCTTTTGTGATTTTTGAAATTTACTGGTTTTTTATGATACACATACATTTATGTACACTGTGCGTTGGGAATTTATGGGGCTCAGATCAGTCCAGCAAAATAGAGCTTTAATTTATAGCGAATGCAAAAAAGTTGTTCATTTAACTTTTATAAGGATTACGAACTGTAGACGAATTCTCTACATAGAAAGTGCGAAACATATGCATGTACATACAAGTGTGGGTGCGCAGGAAATAAGGTCCACCCCAACAAAGAAAAAACAAAAAGACACACACTCCAAGTCGTTCAAATATGGACAGTAGGCACTCAGTAGTAGTATTACAAATTGAATTAAATCATTTTAGACTCCAGAAGATTTTAAAAATTTGACCAAAATTTTTTATTTATTTTGCAAAAAGACTTAAGAAATGAAGAAAAAGCGAGTTTTGTTAAATCCATATCTCTGTCATATGTGAAGGCTGAAAAAACATCAACATTGTTGGCTAATGAATGTAACTGTACTTAAACAAATGACGATGAGTGTAGCTAATACATACTGTACACGACTGTATTTAGTTGCCAGATTTTCATTTGATGTTTTCTTGTCTGCTCGACATGTGAACTTTTAGTCTACTGCAAACATATTTATTCGCGCGCGCATGTGTGTGTGTGTGTGTGTGTGTAGGCAAATAGGTAAAAATATTCCGCGTACGTAACATCAAAAATGTAAGCAAATGTGCTAAAAGCGGCGTTAAGGGCACAAATACATATACACAAGCGGATTTACTGTAAATATGTACATACATATGCATATATAAAACGTATGTATGTACACACTTACTCGAGTTTCTTTCATGCTCACACACACACACACACACACACAGCCTCCGGCTGAGCGTAAGCGTAAAAGGGAAGTTTGGCTTGGGGCGGGGGGTTGGAGCATGTACACACACCCACACACAACTTGTTGCTTACTTTCAATAACGGTGTATTACAATGTGTACTTAGGCGAAGAAAAACAAGAAATAAAACCAACACGCTAAAAATACACAAGAACTAACTTTGTTCCCGCTGTCTACGTCTGTGTGTGTGTGTGTGTGTGTGTGTGTGCATGTGTTGGTTTCATTGTAAATGCAACGCTGCGGGAAATTTATAAAGCCCAAACAAATTAAAATACTTTTCACAACATGATCGATTGGGTATCGATAGTGCGGCATTCGCGACGTCGTTTCTCCAATTATGTCGGCTCGCGGTCGCCGGTCCGAATGCGTCGGCGTCGACGACAGTTGACTGCGCCGCCGCCATCACAACAGCAACAACAACAACAACAGCAACAACAACAGCAGCAGCAGCAGCAACAGCAGCAGCACAAATCTCGGCTGCAAGAGAAGAAAGCTAGGGAACTGCAGGAAGTCGATGGCGATGGCGACGGCGATGGCGGCAGCAGCATTTCCGGCCGTTATGTCTGCTGTTGTGCCAATGTAAGAAATCTAATAAGACTAGCACATGCTTAAGCGTTACTTTTACTTAAAGTCTTATTGGAAGTAAGCGCGAATTGGCTAGCAAAGTGCAAACAGGCCGGCAACGCTGTTAAATCATATGAATCAAGTAATTGACAGTTATTTAAAAGTGTAGCTTAAAGCGTTTCGTTTTAAGCTCAATTCAAGTTAGTAAAAGCACAAACTAAATTAAAAATGAAAAAGAAGAGGCTAGTTGAGAGCATACAAGATACGTATTTAAACTCCCAGTTGCCTTTCAGTGTGAGAGTCATAAAAGTTGGCAGGCAGTTGAAATAATAATAAAACACTTTAAAGTTGGCTGGAGAAAACACAGTGAGAGTCTTCCATTTGATCTATTTGAACTGTGAAACGACACTTGGCACATTCGTTGTTTTCTTGATGCCGCATTAAGCAAATGTCATTTTTGCATTTTGGGTTAAAGCGTGTCTAGTTGTCAAATTTTAATGCACCATTTCGATTATATACGTTTCTTTCGCAGAACCAACGCATGCGCATTGAGTCTGATTACGAGAATGCCAAAGATGCCACAGCCGATGATGCGGCCATTCAACAGGTGCGCAACTCGCGCTCACCACAGCAGCAGCAGCAGCAACAGGTGGTTCAGCAGTTGCAGCAACAGCAACAGCAGCAGCAACAGCAGCAGCAACAGCAGCAGCATCTAGCGCAATCACAGCCCACGACAGCCAGAAGCGGGACTCAGATAGTAAGTGGCTGCAATTAAATGAATTATGTTTGCTCTTTGCCAAAGCTAAAGCTAAATCATGTCGCACTAATGCTCGAAACGGGCGATAATTAGGACCAAAAAAAAAAAAACAAAACAAAAAAACCAATGGGCGTATACAAATGCACGCATGATTAGCCGCAGCCAAAGCCACAACAGCTGCCAAAAGGCAATGGCCCAAACTACCCAACATTCCGAAATGCTTGCACGAGCCTTTGAGTCGAGCCGACCTGAAATAAAAAACCAAAAATAATAATATTAATAATAATCATAATGAATAGCCAGACGTGCCTTAAAGACCGGAAGGCCGTAATCGGCATTTTGGCTATAGCTAATTTAGCTTAACGTGGCGCTTCATTTGAAACGAAATGGCTGCCAATGCCGCTTGTTTCCGCTTCCGCTGAAACTGTTGTTGTGACGCAACAGTATTTCGTATTTTGAGGCACTGTCAATTTTATCTGAACCCTAACCAGTGTTTTTTTTTTTAATGCCAGTTATTGCTCATCATGTTTACTATTTTTGCCACTGTTCTCCAAACCCATCATTATTCACGCTCTTTTCAATCGAAATTGAAATGAATCATTACGTTAACTAAATATCATCCTAAATAAATGTATGTATGTATGCTATGGATATGCTTACATATTTTTTACTTATATTTATTGTTTTTTGTTACTTTTGTTCACATTTAATATTGATATCATCTATAATTTGGGCATGTCTATGTTATTATATTGTATTATTATAAGATATGTACTTATGTATTTAGTAAGACATTAAAAACTACAATGAATCAATTTTTTGAATGCATATTTTTTATTCCAATTGTTTGATTTGCTATTTTTATGGTTTGTATAATTATTGTCACTACTATTTTCTTTTTATTTAGTATTTACATTCGTTAGGGGGTTATCTGTGTATGACTCTTTACCAATAATGAAGAAAAATATGATACACTTTAAGTATACCCTTTAAAATATGTTATATGAATATTCTCAATTATCTAAAGATCAAATTACGGTTATGATGTGGTTTTTGTCACTTACATATATTTAATGCACTAAATTTGATATGTAAAATACATGTAGTTAAATGTTTACCCATATATGTAGTTAATGTTGGAATTTAATTTCCCATTAATCTGTTTTGCACAATATTCATTTGAGTTTTTAGAGCTTGGCGCCAAGCTGCAATCATCTCTGATCTACGCTTGCCGAGCATTAACCAGCACTGGTCGCCGCGATCGATGGTATCGATAGGCAGGCTTTAAGCTATCGATCTCTAGTCACGCCTTTAGCAAAGCAAGCGCAAGCGTCACTCCCTGTATGAAAATGTAAAAAGTAAACACGGCGTTGCTTACTAGTCGTGCGTGTAAATGTGCAATCGTACGTAATCATAAATCATAGTTATCGTGCATTGGTGACGCCAGCGCGGATTGTGAAGAAGTGTGAAGAAATTCGAGGCGCTGTAAACTACAACAGTACGATGTTGCCAGCTAAGACTGTTGAACTATCAGCGCTAATATAACCGGTTACGCATACCAAAACATCGCGACGATAGTTTGTTAGCATGCTAGAGGTGGCCGGTTGTGTGAGCTCGGCAACAATCGAACGCTTGTGCAGCTCTAGTCAGTCGCTGGCTCGCTAGAAAAATGCCAACAACACAACACGGGAAAAGAAGCAGGCATCGCATAATTGCGGCGTAAACGCATTAAAAATATAAAAACGGTCTGTGAAAATATACGCCACAAAGCCTATTTCCATAATCAATGCGAAAGGCGAATGGAAATGTGCGTGTTTCATATAGAAATGTGCTTGAAAGTGACCTGAAAAATACCAGAAACAAAAGCTATACGCTGTGCATGAAATATTAATGCCTTTTCATACATACATACATTCTTACAACAAATCAAAACAAAGTGTAATCAGTAATACTTAGTTAAACATAATGAAGTTGGAAGAAATTAATGTTTTAAAATTGTGCCTTTAGCTTGCGCTACTTTTTTTTTACATTCGTCAGAATCGCGTACATATACGCTCACACACACACACATGCATGCACATACGTACTTACTTATGTATGTAGGTTATACACATGCAAGGCATAGCGCAAAAAAATACCAAAATAGTCGGCGGTTGACACTGAGAGAGTGAGAGCGTCGCGGTTGTTGTTGTTGTTTTTTTTTTTTCGTTTGCCATTTGCTCTGGCAAACAATAAATAAATATGTATGTATGTGATTTGGAAAGCATAACTTATACGTGAATATATATTTGTGTGCGATTAGAAGATTCTCTCACGCTCAGCAACAGAAACAGCGCCCAGCAAGTTTTTAGCGATAGTTGTAGTTCGAACTCGCTCACGTTGGCAACGCGCCGTTCCTCAGTGTTGTGCTTACATATTTATTAGTTGTTATTATTTATTTTTTTAAAATTATTTTTTGCGTTTTGTGTGGATGACACTTGTTAGTGTCAGCGCGCATTGTGAGTCACGCGGCGAGAGTGCAAGTAACATACATATATGTATGTACATGTGGGTGTGTGTACGTGTGTATGTTTATACTCCATATTAAACGCAAAGCTAAAGGGAAATTTATAACATTTTGTTTGCTAAGCACGTAGCGAACGAACGAAACGTTGCAACGTAACAACAATTAACGTAAACGTTTACGCGACTGCGACGTCACTCAACCGGCATTTGTGATTGTGTTACGTTACGTGCAACGTTCATCGCTTTGTGAGAGAGAGAGAGAGAGAGCGAACGCGTTGTGATAATAACATGACCACACGCAAAAAGAAGCGTCAGGATGGCAGCAGCAGCGGCGGCGGCGGCTTTATTAAGAAAGTCTCATCACTATTTAATTTGGATTCGGTAAAGAAAAAGTGCTCACCTATTAAACTTACAAAAACTAGGTATTTGCATGCGATTACAAATGTATCGAAATATATTAAATTGAATACGATTAATCAAGCATTATATCGATCTCGTTGGAGAGTCCTTCCCTCCATCGATTTATTCAATATTCGTTTTGCGCCGGAAGCTAACAAATATTTCGGCTGTTTTTTTATAAATGCTCAATGATGATTCCATGGTTTATTTATAAATTTCGCCAGACATTTAGACAACATAAAAAGTATCAAAACGGCAGCAGCAAGAAAATTCTCTGGCCTCAGTGCGTCGTTGTCCTCAATTGTATGTCAAATTTCAGCGTATAAACTTTAACAAATGTCTTTACGCATGCGCAACGGAATTTCTCCCAGTCACACACGCACACATACCTATGCATATATGTATGCCAGTCAATATGTGAATGTGCCTAAGTAAGCAAGGCAGTAAATGGGCGTGCATTGTAGAATTTGCAAAATTGACAGCTGCATCTCTGTCTCTCTCCCTTTCTGTCTCTCTTGAATGCCGCCACGCATAATGTCACCTACTTAAATGTGCATGTATCTGTATACACATATGCATGTGCATGTGCATGTGCGTGTATGTAAACAGGGCTCTTTTCTGATGCTGACGTTCCTTCACTCATCTAGTCTCTCTTACTTGCTCTGTCCCACTCACTCTCACTCACTCTCCCGCTCACTCGCTCTCTCGCTAGATCGCATAATTTGCTCGAAATAGAACTCACTCGTCTTCACATTTTCAAATTCAAAAGCTCCATTGGCTCTCCTAACGGTGTTTGCTTGAATAAACATTCGTATTTAACTACAGTGTGCGTTCGATATAACGAATGTGGCGAATAGGATATGCATATTATATGAAAAACTTTTAACATATGTTGCACATATACAAATGTATGTATATATATGTATATCAGAATGTCCAAATCCATAAACAAAATACAATCTGAAAACTTATTGACTGCTAATTCTTGAATCAAGGCACGTTTTCAAATTTGTATACAATTTGGATTTATTGCGGCCTTTTGTGGTTGCCAGACTGGAGGACAACAATGTTGATATTGAACCACATTTGTGGCACATGCCTCCCAATTGATTCAGGTTCGGGTGGGTGTGCATTGTGCAGGTGTCGATTTATTTAGATACTCGTCTGTACTATACATATATCTATATGTGTATATACATAAACATACACATACACAATCGGCATTGTTGACATTGTCTTCATATATGTATGTGTGTATGTAAGCGCATGCAGTTGGCTCAGCGTCAAATCGTCACAGGTTCCAATCAGACAAAGAGTGCCAGCGAGAGTGCGTTGGGCGGGGATTGAGGGTGAAAGAGAGAATAGTATTTATAATCCACACCCAAACATTTCGTACTCATTCACATTTGGTGGCAATTCGCCGAGCCATATTTGGTGACTATGTATATATACATAACATATGTATGTGTATGTGCATGTATGTTTGTATGTACATGGCTGCATACGTGTACACTGGTGATCACAAGAATAGAAGCGGTTAAATGCAATTTCAAATATGCATATATTTTTCGTGTTTGCATATATTTTTAAATAATTATTATATATAAGCAAATTATCATTACGTGAGAGTTTTATTCCATGTTCAAATAAAAAATAATTTATTTTAAACTCCATAATTCATGTCATGTTCGAAAGTTTTTTCATAAAAAAAAAAACCAAATTCGAGATTTGGTTTCAAGACATCTCTGAAAATGGCGAATTTCAATGTTATTTTGCTCTTCGGAAGCTTCAACCTATCCTAAATATTCTAGGTTAATCTAGGCTTTATATACTAGCTCGAAGCAGGCTTACTTGATGCGAATGTTATCAGAATCAGAGATTTACAATGTGTTTTAGTAGATTGTTAAGGTCGTCACTTTTTCATAGCATTTCAATATTACTTATTTAGAATATGCCATTGAAAGGTTCTACAACACTGGTCTTCGATTAAGTGTAGTGTAAATACTGTATATAAAATTACAAAACCTATTTCCTACAAAGCACTTCAAATTTAACTGCTGGTCTCAAGTGTAACTATTGTTTTGTTGATGTGTGTATGTTTACTCATGCTACGTTAGCAAGTGGCTGCCTTGTATCTTTTGCTAAATAAAGAAACGGTAATTGCCACATTCTGGAACTGGAACTGGTGCGCGCATTACCTGTGTTGCGTCTCTCTGTGTGTGTGTGTGTGTGTGTGTGTGTGTGTGTGTGTGTGGTAAACCCAACCCCAAACCCAAACCAAAGCATAGTCGCAAAGCATATGATTCTCGCTGATAAGATAAGTTTGGCAGCTGATATGAATAGTATGTTGCCCATAATATAGATATACTTCTGTTCCTATCTATGTAGCCAGTGCTGTGGCCCAACACTAAAACACGAGAAAACTAAACCACAACAGTTGGAAATACCTTTGCGGTTGTTGTTGTTGTTGTTGTTGTTGTTATTGTTTGGGCATTATTATTAACTAACCAAAACGACCTTCGATGAAACGCCTTAAAAATGTTCCAATTGTGAACCTCTGATGTAATTGTTTACATAAGACTCCTCGGTCCAATATTGGCCGCTAGCTTTTGACTTTAGAATGTCAACTTAATTAAGTTAATCAAATTCATAAGCCCCTGCGAATCTTATCAGTTGCTATTGTCTTGGTTCAGGTAATTGGAATTCTTTTTGCCATTGATCAAAACAGTTCGTAGCTTCGCATCTCAAATATTTAACATGGAGTTTAACTCCTAGAAAAAAAGCAAATAGGCCATAATTTGTGCCAGCAGGGAAAGAAAACACTTTAAGTGTCTGGCAGATCAGCTTACAAGATGCATGAATAAATGTAATTGTAAGCTTCAGACATACCTTAACAGGAACACAGGAAAGCTGCCAATGTACCTTGTACAGCCCATTACAAGTATTGGGGAATTCATTAAACTGCCTGCTAAAGTATGACTGGCAGATAAATGAGTTAACAAGAGCGTGTGAAAATGTAATTGGGCCAAAGACAACTGGTTAACTTTGACAGCAAAACAGAAAAACACACGCAGCAGCAATGCATGTCAAATATTTATCGGGCGGATAAACTGTCTAATAAATGAAATGAAGGCTTCCGTTTTCGAATAGAGGGTTGCAGACAGCTTTGCAGTGCATGTGACCCATTTGGATGTAATACGAGATCGATGTCGTTATTGCTCATAAAGCACACACACACACACACACACACACGCACTCACACACACACATGCGAACTCATGCCGACAGAGACCTGACCTACCGCTCTTGTTAACATGCCTGGTTTGAGAATCAAAAGGGGTGGGGGATGATGGCTAGCCGGCAATGTGCTCCAAGTTGAAGCTGAGCTGTGCGAATTACTCACGTCACGTAGCCTGGCGAACAGTTGACGTGCTGACCCGGCAAATGTCAAAGGTTAATAAGCAATTCGAATGGCGCGCCGCGGCATCGCACGTGAGCAGCTTTAAAGACGCAGCCAGCTTTGCATTCGAGCTGCAATTCTGTGTTGTTTCTTCTTTTTCTTCTTGTTGTTGTTTTAGCTACTGTGGGATATACATAAGTACTTGCCGCCAGCCTAATGAATCCATTTACACCCAGTTGCTAATCAATTGAACTCGTTTTTCACGCATGTGTAGGTGTGTGCGTGTGTATTGTCATGTTTGTCTAAATGTTGCAATTTTCACTTATTCGAAAGTTGTCATTTATTTACGACGAGTCTTTTTATGCGCATCTTGTTGTGCCTGTTACAAACAGACAAACGTTTCTATAGATTGATTTTGGGTGCGGCACATAATTTACCATGCATATAAACATATATCGTATTGTTGGTCGTTGCTTTTTGATTTTCCCGACATCATTTTCCTCATCATACAAGTATTTTTGGATACATTATGTGAAACACGACAATGTCTGGCAAGCTAAACTTTCCTGAGTTTTAAAGAAGTTTTTCTGTTGGGTCGAAAGTGCGCGGCTACGATTCGACCTGGAAGTGGGGGAAAGGGTATTTAGAAAACAACAACAATAAAGCAGACATAAAAGTGTGCGTTGCCTGCGTAAGAGGTCGCTGGTTCAAATCCCAAAATGATAAAATATATTTGCATCTGTCTGATGTTCAGGCGGGCATATGCTAACCTTTAATTTGCGCCGCTCAATGCCGGGTAATTTCCTCAAGTTGCAATCATATTGCAGATAACAATATGTGTCCGATAACCCTTTCAATCCTATTTGCACTTGAAACTAAAGTCCAGGCTACAATTCTGTATTTGAATGGGGCTTACATTTTCCACATGTTTTCATTGGCTATTCTTCCGAATAAATATGTCACGAAAACATCTTTAATTGTTTCACGTCCCAAGTTTTGTGATTCACAAATTTAGAAGCTGTTTTACTTACACCATAAAAGTAACTAATGTTCTGTTCTTCAAGTTAGTTTTAAGTCAAAGAATGCCTTTTCTTATATATATACATATAGATCATAAAACGAACTAAAGTTGTTGATGTTAGAAAAGTATTCTATATTATATATGTTAAAGTTCTCAGCTAAGTGCTACGTGCATAGCTTTTCGATTTAAGCTCAACTTACAGGGTATTATACTTCTGTCACGTAATGTGTCATGCATAAAAATCAACTTCTACTTAATATATATATGTTCGATCCGTATCAGCAGCCGAGTCCGGCTGGCCAATGCCCTGCCCTTAGACAATTCAATATGGAATTATTTTTGAAAACAAAGTCGTATTATCTTGTATCCAAAAGAATATATGAATTGAATATATTGCTTAAACATATTTGCAAAAATTATAAAAAATGCAGCAGCAACAACTATGGGAAAGTTTTCAAGTTTCTTGAAGCTGAAAAAGTGTTAGAACTTTGACATTATTGATTAAGTTTAACGAACAAATTGAAAACCAACTATGTTTTAACTCACAATCTTAAGTTTTCTCTCGGTCCAACAATTTTCAGCTACACAAGGCATCCTCGACGAAGGTAAGCGGCGCCCAACGAAGGCAGCTCAGTGTTTGTCAGTGTTTGTCATTTAATCAAAATGAATATAAGCAAAAAGAAATTAAAAATAAAACAAAAAAAAACAATAAGCGCTGCTTTATCTGTATTTGTAATACGTCCTGTCTTAAATGCATTTATGTTTTGTCTACATCCGGTGCGGAAATGCAATTGCACACACATCTATAAAACTGTCGCTATCATCTACTTATCGGGCACAAGTCGTTAATTGTACTAGCAATAAATTATAAATTATGCATGCGAAGTAAACTCCATATTAATAATATATAATATAAAATTGATTGTCGCTCAACATTGGCTCCTGCAGCTTGTGTGCGTGCGTGTGTTTGTGTGCGTCCTTTCATCGTTGCCAAATGCAGATCCTAACAACTTACCACATATCAGGCTGTCGCTAATACATCCAACCACTTTTGTCAATCTCTCAATTGCGCAGGTGAATGGCGATGATAGCTGGTATTATGAGGACATACAGCTGGAGCGTGGCAATTCCGGCTTGGGCTTCTCGATTGCCGGCGGCACCGACAATCCCCATATTGGCACCGACACCTCGATATATATCACAAAGCTGATACCGGGCGGCGCCGCAGCTGCCGATGGACGTCTGAGCATTAACGACATCATCGTATCGGTCAACGATGTCTCCGTTGTGGATGTGCCGCATGCCTCCGCTGTGGATGCTCTCAAGAAGGCCGGCAACATCGTAAAGCTGCATGTGAAACGGAAACGTGTCGCAAGTGCAACAGCTGCCGCACCCACAACAGCCGATGTCCAAGACAGCGTCAGCGGAACGGCGGTCTCCGCTTCGGCTTCGGCGTCGGCGTCGGCACCGGCGGGACCAAAGGTGATCGAAATTGATTTGGTCAAGGGCGGCAAAGGTCTGGGCTTCTCAATTGCCGGCGGCATTGGCAATCAGCATATACCGGGCGACAATGGCATCTATGTGACCAAACTTATGGATGGCGGTGCGGCCCAAGTGGACGGGCGCCTCTCCATTGGCGACAAGCTAATAGCGGTTCGCACTAACGGCGTAAGCATAAATCATGAATTCATTGAACAACAACAATAAATAAACTACAACATTGTTTCTCACTCCCTCATTTACAGAGCGAAAAGAATTTGGAGAATGTCACGCATGAATTGGCTGTGGGCACACTCAAGTCCATCACCGATAAGGTGACACTGATTGTGGGCAAAACGCAGCATTTAACGAGCAGTGCCTCACAGTCGGGCAGTGCACAGCTTGGCCAGCAGTCGCAGGCGCATTCACAGTCGCAAACCCAATTGGCAGCTGCCACACGACAGCAGCAGCAGCAGCAGCAACAGCAGCCGGCTAATTCGGAATCTGCAGGTGCGCTTAACAATGTTGGGCAGTCAGTTGTTGATTCAGTCACAGATTCAGTCATCACCAACTCCACTATCACCACAACCACAACCACTTCCAATACCAACAACATCACCACAAACACCTCCACATCCAACACTAGCTACGGCACCAATTTAGGCTCAAACAGCAGCCATATAGTGCAACATAATATTGCCACAGTCAGCAGCACCAGCAGCAGCAGCAACAGCAACAACAACAATCTTAACAACAACAACAACAACATAAACAGCAGCAACAGCAGCAGCAGCAACAACAACAGCAGCAGCAGCAGCAGCAACAACAGCAAAAGCAACAGCAACTACAATAACAACAGCAACTTAGTAGCAGCTAACGCTAAAGATACAGCTACAGCTACAGCAGCTGCAGCTGCAGCTACAACACAACCACCACAAGCACCCGCCTCCGCCTCCGCCTCTGCCTCAGCTTTAGCTTTTAATGCTAAGCTAGCAATGCCAATGGCTGTTGCTGGCGGCACAGAGCACAGCCGTTCCCAATCACCCTTGCCAAGGCGTAAGCGAATCATATTTGAACTTCAACTATTCACAACTCGATATTAACATTCTCTTTACATTTCAAATAAGAGCCACACATTCAGCAGCTAAAAGTCCTTTTCCATCTATAAAACTAGCCACATTCTAGCATACAAGATATATAAACACGAAACAACATTGTCTATATGTAAACATATAAGTCTGTATGTACTATATGCATGTGCATATCTGATAGATACTCATTAAGGTTGGCTAAAAAAAAAAAAAACAAACAAGCAGGCGTGTTTTAAGGCAATTCCTGAATTTAGACTGGGCTCTCTACTAACTGCTAATCTATTGTTGCTATATCTTATGCTCTCTATCTAACACCTATATATACCTATATATATATATTTATATATCTGTCTATCTAAATCGTGATTCAATTCAAACTTCGAACCATTCGGGAAAGTTTCTGCAATCTCTACAGATTTTGCACGGCTTTTGCTTGCGTGCTTGCTAAGCTGCTCGTATTTCAGTGTTGTTTGTTATCCACCAACCATTTTGGAGCACTGGTCAACAGTGTTGCTCATTCAATTCAAAACGAAACATTTGACCGACTGCAAATGTACCTTAACTTAACATGGCATCTTCTATAATGCATGCATAACTATTTATTATATTTGAACCTTGTCTTGTCTTTTGTGCTTATTATAAGATCATCTATTTCTATATTTTAATACATCTATATCTATATATGTATATGTGTCTAGATGTGTGTACAAACGTACATATGTGTATCCATATTGAGGCTGGAAAGCAAACGAACACTATTCACGATTCAATTGTTTTATTCTTATTTCTCTTCTCACTTTTTCTTGTTCTTATTTTATTAAATGTCCGTTAGTGATATCTTTTTTATTCATATATAAAGCGCGCCTTTGTCATTCCGAATTTAACAATTTCTACAAAATAATTATTGTACTTTTTGTTGTATTTTGACTTTAGGCGCTGCCAAGAATTTTAGAATTCATATAAATTCTTCTTCTACAGACAGCGGCATTCAAATAAAAAAAAACTGGGATTATAGTTTAGGAAAATGTTTCGTATGCCAGCAAATTTCAATCCTTATATCCCTAAATTATTGAATTTTCGATAGTTCATAAAAACTGATCGACAGTTCGAAAGTAAGCTTCACAGAAATGTTCAGTTAAAAATCCCAATTTCTACAGTTATTTTCAAGGCATTTCTCTCTTATTTCCTGTGTTGAAAGATTTCCCAGTGTCAACTTTCAAGTGTTGATTAATTTCTTTGATTTCTAACACACTTTTTTTTCGCCTTTCGCCTTACTATTTTCTGGTTTCGATACTAAGTTATATTATATGCTTCTCTTTCTTTTTAATCCAAACACCACACCACTCGCGAGAGAGTCGATTTGATTATCTTGTCCTGTGGCTGTTACTCTACAAACTCTCTTAAAATATATGTAAACTCGCGACCTCCATTAATTACCCTTACCCCTCTCTATTTCATGTCTCTATATATGCACGTGTGTGCATTACTTTGTGTGTATGTGTGTAAACGTTACCGGTTCGTTGTTATTTTTTGATACAAAACGAAAAACAAAAAAAAAAAAAAACTTACCAAAAAAATTAAATAAAATACCCAAATTGGATATAAATTTGGAAAATAAATAATATAGAGCCCGGCTCAAGGTACGCATCGACTAATGTCCTGGCGGCCGTGCCACCGGGCACACCGCGCGCTGTCAGCACAGAGGATATAACCAGGTGAGCTGTGCCCCAGTTTTGTGCGGCTTTACGCAATATCTAATTAAACAACTTTTCCACTTTATTGCATTTCCTATCATTTGACTAAATTGTGACCTTGTGTGTTTGTTAATTTTTAACAGAGAACCACGCACCATTACCATACAAAAGGGACCACAAGGTCTGGGCTTCAATATAGTCGGCGGCGAGGATGGCCAGGGTATTTATGTATCATTCATATTGGCCGGCGGTCCGGCGGATCTTGGCTCCGAGCTGAAGCGCGGCGATCAGCTGCTCAGTGTGAACAATGTCAATTTGACGCATGCCACACACGAGGAAGCGGCTCAGGCATTAAAAGTGAGTAGCATCCGTAACCCTGACTGCAACCAGACAACATAGTATATAACTAAACTCTGTCGCAGACATCTGGCGGCGTAGTCACATTGGTTGCACAATATCGGCCAGAGGATTACAATCGATTCGAGGCACGCATTCAGGAGCTGAAGCAACAGGCGGCGCTTAGCGCCGGCGGCTCTGGCACCCTGCTCCGCACCACACAGAAGCGTTCGCTATATGTACGCGCCCTCTTCGACTATGATCCAAATCGCGATGATGGCCTGCCGTCGCGCGGCCTGCCCTTTAAGCATGGAGACATACTGCATGTGACCAATGCCTCCGACGATGAGTGGTGGCAGGCACGACGCGTGCTTGGCGACAATGAGGACGAACAAATCGGTATTGTGCCATCGAAGCGGCGCTGGGAGCGTAAAATGCGTGCACGTGATCGCAGCGTCAAGTTCCAGGGACATGCGGCGGCTAACAACAATCTAGATAAGGTATAAACGTACTTGCATTTTCACGAAACCGAAAAAGTTGCTGAAGCGGCAAACACATGACAATATAGTTAACTTGGCTAAACTCAAGGCGTCGCTATCAATTATGATGTAGTTAATAAGCAATGAGCAGCACTACAAGCTGAGTCGATCCATTTATGTCCGTTTGTCCTTTCGACTGGAAGCCACAAAATCAATATATATTCCTGTATTATACATACTCAGATCGCATTAATTTATACATGCACATTTTTCAATATCTTTCCATAACGCCGATAAATATTGAGTTTGAAATAAGTTTCTTTACAAAATTTCGGAAGTAGCTCCTTATTGAATATAGACTAAGTGAGAGTAGTTTTTGTTTTTTTTCGGACATGTCTGTCAAAAGATGTCTTCTCTAAGCTGTAGACATTTTTTTTAGAGCTGCAGCCTTGTACCTTGGTATATGCACATATGTTGGTGCTCTTCTTAATTCCAGTCCGAGTTATTCGAGAATGCATTTTGTCTATAAAAGTAGTCGGTGTGTAAAGGCAGCTCGCCGCTTGAGCATGTACTTTTTGAATTCTTAAATATAATGAATGTGAACTCTCGCTCATTCACCACCCTTCTCTTTCTCTGTTTCTCAGCAATCAACTTTGGATCGCAAAAAGAAGAATTTTACATTCTCACGCAAGTTCCCATTCATGAAGAGTCGCGATGAGAAGAACGAAGATGGCAGCGACCAAGAGCGTAAGTAGCAAAGCTCCAGCGCGTGGCATTCAAACAGAATACAAAAAAAAAAAACGCGTTAACAACAACAACAACAACAACAAACAACAAGAACAACAACAGCATCATCAACAGCAATAATAATAATGATAATGATAATGTTAATGTTAATAATCATCAGAACAAGAACAAGAACAACAAAAGCATCGAACGTCTTGAGCGACAGAGCAACAATTTATTTTGTTAATAATTTGTTATGCGCTCTCTCACTTCCACTACTTAACTTACGTGTCTCTGTCTCTTTCTTTCTATCTCACTCTCACTCTGTTGAATGTTTTTCGTGTGGCATCTATGTGTGTGCAACTGCGCGTTGTCTTATAATATAATTACAATAAGTGTCTCGTCCTGCCTCTATCTCTCGCTCTCTCTCTCTTTCTCTGTGTGTGTGTACGTGTGCCGTTGCGTGTGCCACCTGTCGGCAGCCTACACATAAATGAAAAACTCTTCAGTTTTTGATCAGTGTAACGTCATGAAATAATTCAACTTTAATTTATTTTTTAAATATTTAATTTTTAAGCGGAAGCGTTTCATTTTCCTCATATACTTTTATGCATATATGTGTGCTTCAAATTTGTTTTTGATTATGTTTAATAAACATATAATGAAGTGTATTCTGCAAATTGATTTTGTACCACGAACAACGTACACACTATCACGCAAAACAAATACACATACTTGTCCGCTTAAACCAGTGCCAAGCAGCACTGACACCATCTAGATCTAATAATTATATTATTTGTATACCCTTGTAGATTGTATTCGGATTTCGCATATAAGTAGATTCAAGCATATATACTCTCGGATCAGTTCCAACAGCCGATATATACATGTTCATTTGACTGCTTTTCTTATTCTATGTTCGAAGGTTATCATCACGATATGTTGCAGGCAGTACATAGGCATATGATAATTTATATCGTATATTTCTGATGGGAACTATAGGTCGAAAAATTAGTAGGGAAAACCTTTTTATTATGCTTTCTTACCCAAACTTACATATAGTTTCTATAGGATAAAATCTGTGGAATGGAAGGATCCTATATGGCAATCTATTCCGTTTTCATTTTCTGTTTCGACATATCTGCAGAAGGGGCAACATATCTATATATAGATATATATAAATTTATTTTTAAAGATATTTTACAGTACTTGACATTTACTGGTTGTCCCATGCTCTTGCATGCTATTAAAATCTTATAAATATCGAACACCTACAAATAGTTCGATTCGAGTCGCCAAATAGCGTGCAAAATCAGACTCCTATATCTTATGGCACCTATAGGAACAATTGATCGAAATAACGCAATTCTTAGCTAACTGGCTACAAGGGTATTTAAACTTCGGCGTGCCGAAGCAAGTCGTTCTTCTATCGAATTCTTTTTTTTTTTTTTTTGTAAATTAAGTTAAAGAACTACAAGTAAGTAAAAAAAAAATTCGGGGTTAATACGAATATAAATGCCCTACATTCTTTATTGTGTATGTTGTTGTTTTTTTTCTTCGAGCATATTTTTAAATGTTTTTGTCTTGTTTTTCAACAATTATTTCATGCATTTTACGTTTTATTTTGTTTATTTTCATATTTTATTGTGTCGTTCCACACATATGCGATGGTCCTGTGCGTACTCAAAACAAACCCCCAAATGATTCATTCACACACACACAAACACACACACACACACATCCCATACACCCGAACATAATCGATATTGAACTTTGTTGTGTTTTCTCCAAACGCGTGTGTTGTGTGCTCGGGTGTGTGAATTCCCTGTGATATCTACAGCAAACGGATTTGTAAACAGCAACAGTGAAATCGATGTTAACAATGTTAACAACAATCAAGCAAATGAGCCGCAGCGTAAGTGTGTGTGCCTGTGTGCGCGTGTGTGTTCTCATACGCACACATGTGTATATTGTTACATGTCTTATAGTATATATCTATTTATATATTTTGTGGGATATCAGTTGTTATAAATGTGTACTATATACTTATAAATATATATATATATTTATATATATATATATTTCTAAATTTATGTCTAACCATTTTGGCATATATGTATGTATGTTATATCTACTCATGTATTGGTTGTGTTTAAGCATAAGTTTGCATACGGTTTATGTTTTACACTCTGGGTTACCTCTAAATCTGTGCCTCTGGCAGTGGGCCTCTCACATACACACATACACTCACAAACACATTCGCAAATACACCTGTAAACGAGAATAAGCATATGCATAAAGTATTTGATCTCTACTAACAATGCACACGTACTTATACCAGCACACACACACACATATATATATATATATATATATATATATGTTATATATATGTTATGTTAAGAGCTAGTGTGAATGTAACAAAATATTCGAGTATGTAATCCCCAACCAGACATCAAAGGTGCTTCAGCGTTCGCTACAACCAACAACAACAACAACTCATATCTATGCTCATTAATTCTTATACATACATACACAAGTACTCAGGTACTTACATGCATATAGACAGATATATGTTATGTATGTTGTGTTGCATCATATACAACAAATTGTTCGTCGTGCTCTGGAACAGCTACATAACGCTTTTACCTGTCTTACCTGTATAGACGCAACTACTGCTATAGCTAAATATTATCTACTGCTGCTCTACAGACAACAGAAAAACAACAATATAAAATACAGGAAATAATACTATATCATCATCAATTTAATTCTCTCTATTTACCTTCTTTGCATTATTTTGAAGCACACGCAATTTGTGTGTGTGTGTAAAAAATGTGTACTGAAAAACTATATTTCTCATCTTTCATAATTACATGCATATATATACTATAGAAAGAAAAATGAAAAAAGCAAAAAAAAAAAAAAAGAAACCAACTATTTACTACTCTCACATATTTACATCTAATTTTTACTGCTATTCTGTTTTGAACTGACCAAAACGTATATCTTTTTCGATTCTCTTTTTTATTTTCTCTTCATTTTTCTAGCTTTTATGCTTTGCTACACACAAGACGATGCCAACGCTGAAGGAGGTATGTACTTGACTATAAACTTGATGCTTAACTAGAAGCAGATACACACACACACACACACACACACATACACACTCACACACACACAAGTACACATATATAAATACATATATCTAGTTATATACACTTACAAACTAATTGGATGTTTCGTCAAAATCACAGATACATACATACATACATTTGCGTACATTTTACGTGATATTTGTGTACTTGTATTTATTGGCCATACACATACACATACATATACACATACACATACATTCAGACATAGTTACATGAACTACACTAACCAACACGTATTGCATTTTCAAACTCAACTCAATATTCACAATTCATCTTTAGTAATAACAAATAAAAAATCTAACCTTCAGCTCATTTCACACATTCCAATACACCGCATACCTAATCTAATCAATTTTAAGTTCGTAATACCTACAACATACATACATACATATATACATACTTTATTGCATAAGTCGATGCTACTACAACTAAATTAGACTATTATCTATAATTTGTGTTTCGTATTTTGGGTTTTCTCAATCATTCTTATTTTACACATTTATATTACTCGTATTGTAAGTCCTTTCGTACATTCACATCTGCACACTTTGTACACGTGAATATACATACATATAAATCATATACTTCTATATACATATATTTCAATACTGACTCTGTGTATCTATATTTCTAGAAAAATGTTTCATTACATTTCTACGCTTAATTTAAAGAATCTATTTTAAACTTTTTCTATCTGCCAAATATATGGCACAATTTAAGCAAAAATTCAATGAGCCACGTTTGACAATTTATCCAATTATTATCTAAGCTAACTAGGTTCTTCACATAGGCTCTCAGTCAGAGGGAATTTCTCTCTTGCAGGAGCGTTCAATTTTTCAATTTCTCTTTGCGCGACATTCGTAAACGTTTCAATATCGTTTGACATTGTTGATACATTGAAATAGGTTGGAATGCTGAGTTTTTTAACAAACATAAATATCTATATAACTTTTAAAAGAATCATATTTTATATGAACTTTATGGATCCGTCTTCTTAGGTACAATACAATACCCACATACACATGCATACACATGCTTCTCTTGCATATGTAAATAATAATACCTAATTGTGATAATACTTTCTGTTTTTTTTTTTTTGACTGTGTACATTATTATGATGTACTTATATTGTGCATATATAAATCAAATATATATATATATATATATTTATATTGTGTATCTATCTTAAGAGAAACGATTCGTATGTAAGTTCCATGCCACATGTAAAGACATACGTACATACTTATGTAATTAATACATATCTAGTTGGTCCAATCGAACTCTTATGATGATGTGTAACCTAGTTTCTTGCATATTATTGTTTATCGTTCAAATTTATATAGTTTTAGTAATTTGGTATTAATGAGGATCCTACAAGATTGTTCCTAAAACGTATGCATACTATGCATATGTTCATATGTACTAGGCAGACTTCGCCCGTTCTATCTACATATATTCAACTCAACTCGAAACTCAATTATAAGTGTTTAATTTATGCGCGATTGTTCTAATGTTTTTTCTTTTGCTTTTATTTTCAATATATTATATATGTATACGTTAAACATTAATCGATAACCGATAAACACTTGCCATATATGTTCAAAACTTTTTTAATAGATGTGTACATACATAAAATATATTGATATATTCGTGAGCTTTTCACCAATTTCGCAAACTTTGACAACACTTTGACTTGGCCTCGCACAACAAAGCTAAAAGTGAATGTTGTGCAATCTATCGAAACTATCGATAATCATTTAAGCTCTATTGTCGTTATAATTCCTTTGAACTGGAATACTGTACCGTAGTTGGATCCATCTTTGGGCCATTCAGGAATTGGCATGATCTGATACATGAATCCATGAATAAACCACAATTATACATATGCACATATGAATATTTTTGTAAATAATTACATTCCTGTGCGTGTGTGTGTGTGTGTATGTGTGTGTGCGTGTTATTTGTCAATTATCGTTGTGTTAATTTAAGTTAACCGATAAGTAAGTGTATACTTATTAAGTACTTACACACACGCTATAGGTACTGGCAATTTATATACAAGCATTACGTGCTCGTGCGGCACATGTATATGAAGTTACGCTAACCTAATGTATTTTATTTTTAATTGTCTTATTTGTGTTAACTTTATTCACATTGATGGTAACTTGCTTTGATCCCAAAATCTTGAATACGACATCAACTCGTACAATAAAATCTACATTTGGGATTTTATTTGAACTCTTTTGGTTGATTTAAACACTTTCTCCGACATCATTTCATTTTGTAGCATAGAACACTACATAATACACTGGCGTCTTGTAAATATTCACCAAATAAGATTAATGCGCATTCTTACATGCGTACATATGTATGTGTGCACATGCACCGGCTGCATATGTATGCATGCATATGCACATGCACACTCTAATATCCACATGAATACTCGTCATACTCGTGTGCTTGACAGAGAAGTACGCATAATACGCGTTTCACTAACACAAACCAAACGAGTGTTGGCTTGTATCAGATATTTGTGCAATGAAAAAATCAAAGTCAAATTTATTGATTGCTTTTAGGATTGATTGTTATTTTTCTTAAGTTTCTCATCAAGCTTTAGACATACATACATGCATAAGATTTAAGTACGAACACACTTTCACAACAACAACAACAAAAACAACTTTAAAAAAAAAAAACACCAGATTCTCTTAAAGATCGTTTAAATATTACAGGTTAATCTAAATATATACAAATGATTAATTTTGTTTATCTTTTTCTTCTTTTTCTTTAATTAATGATTTCCCATTTGACTTAACCTTTGTGTGTGAACTATGTTCAATTTTACGTTCAACAATTACAACAAAAACAACAACAAAAACTCAAATATATATATATTTACTAAATGCTTCGTCTACTTTCCGCTGCCTACTGCTATTTACGACTCTACTACTTCTGTCACTACTCTTCTACTACTACAACTACTACTACTACAACTACTACTACAACTACTACTACTACTACTACAACTACTACTACTACTACTACTACTACTACTACTACTACTACTACTACTACTACTACTACTACTACTACTACTACTACAACTACAACTACTACTACTACTACTATTTGTGTTACTTAAACTATTTACTGTGTGTATTCAATACGACTTTGCTATAATTTCGTTACGTTTGATAATTTGCATTTATATACATATATATCTACCTGAAACTATGTCTCGTAATTTTCGAAAAAAATAAAAATAAACAAACAAATGCCACAAACTTTAATAACATATATTAAAAAAAAATATATTGTCAATATGTTACATATATTCCTGTTTTGTTAAACAAAACTTAATTTTTTTTGTTTGGTTTTTGTTATTACAAAAAAAAAAAAAACAATTTATATATTTGAATCAAACAAACTTTTCAACTGATTGAAAAACCTATTATAAATACATCAATATATATAAATATATTTGTTACAACCATGCGCTCGTTCATGTACTGCGACAACAACAACAACAACTACAACAACTAATAAATTTATCAACTACCATCCCCGTACATCACAACTACTATCAACCAACCAACCAACCAACCAATCAACCAACCAACCAATCAATCAATCAATCAATCGACCAACCAATATTTGATATGTATATGTATAAATGAGCGCAGGCGAGATTATCTACAGAGTGGAATTACCCGATATGGAGCAGATAACTTTAATCTACTTGGAGAATAATGATGCTGACTATCGTAAGTCGAGCAAATAAGCAACAATTTTTGTAAAAGAACCAAACAAACCATATAAATGCAACAACAGCTATAAAGGCCTTCAAATATTACAAACCAAAAAAAAAAAAAAAAAAATACATTAAAGCTTACGTTTCTTAAAAAAAAAAATTACAATTAGGTTTAAAATCAGAACAATTTACAGTATATATCTATTTTTGTTAAGTTTTTTTTTTTTATATTTTTTTTTTTTATCAAACAAAACGAAACTGCAAGCAATTTTCCTTCTTAAATGCCGGTTACTTGGTTAGTTTCCTACTCTCTAGCCCTATCTCTCGCACGCACACACTCTTTCTCTCTCCTTTTCTCTCTCTCGCTCTCGCTCTCTCTTTCTGTAAGACCATCACTCATTTTCAGCAGTTCTACCTTTCCAATTTTATATTTATATACTGAATATAAGCTCTTGAATTTCCTTTTATTATGCTAAAGCGAAGGTCTCATCTTAGAAATTTCCTAGCTAGTATTATCAGCATTTGCTTAAAAACAATCATTTATTTTTTATTTAAAAGGAATGGTTTAGCTTTAATATTACGGATATACCATGTTAATGCCAATTTTTCCCCTTCTCCCCCGAAAAGCAACCGATCCAGTCTGATGAGTATTTTAGTGCAAAGTTTTAATGAACAGTTTAATTTTTGATCATCTGCTTATGCGATCCATATATGATAAAGTCTCGTCAAATATCAGAGGCGAAATGTCCTTTCCATAATTTGATCATGTGTAGAATGCTTTAATCGTATTCCAATGCCATTTTGCCCAAATACACTACCTCGTACCTTGTGTTGAGAATACATAAATGCACACACAAGTCAACAATTATCTATTTTCATTAGAACTAAAAGTACAGTTGCCCATTTTGTACGCTAAAGACGTACCACTGTCGATAATTTCTATCGAATTCGAAGTGTTCAGTGTGTACCCAACATTTGAATATGCTCGTATTCACATTTTACGCTTTTCAAGTACGTGAGAAACGATTTTGTTAATTTCATAAACGGTTGTAGTTTTATTCCGTAGCTTAGACGAGCCACAATATTTAAGATTGTAGAGTTTAGTTTCTAGTTCGGTGCGCTTATGCCTGTTCTCTCTTTTGTATATTTTCATTTTTCGCTAACTCTATTACTTTCATTCCTTTAACTATATATCGAGTCTTTTAATAAGCGAATTCTGTTTTCTTAATTATTATTATATTTGCTTAGTTTTATGATGTGCTTCAATCATTTCACGTGTTTTCTTTTCAAGCAATTTCTGTAGTGGTCACAAACGTAAAGCCGAAACTATCCAACACCGATAGATGTATTGTTCTTGTCATTAATCGTTATCGATATCGTACCATTGCACGCACATTTCCACCATTTTGTTTTTCATCTATCGATACATTTGTTGCAACACAACCGGAAGTGAACACCTGTATATCCAAAATATCCTCCATAGGAGTAGTTAAATGAAAGAAAACAACAAGAACTCGCTTTGCGAATTGATTTATATGTATGTTTCGATTAATTATTTAAGTTTAAGGTAAATACAGGGATGTGAACGACAACAACGCAAATAGTTCAATATAGTATAATATAATGATGTATTGAAAATTGATTTAATTACTGAATTATCGAAAGTTTCTGAAGATAAATAAAAGTCTTGTTTGATTTAAGAAGTGTTGTTAATTTATCGTATACGTCAGTGTATTTTCACGATATCACAAACCTATTTATTCAGAAAAAAGAAACTTTCATGCCCGATTCCAAATTTACTTCACACATGCCCCCCTCCCCACCCACCATCGTTCGTTCCGTCCAAAAATGATGCATCATCTATTTTATTGGTTTCTATATTATACTCGCCTATGCGAACTTTGTTTACGACAATAATTGGCATCATTTCTTTTGATTTACTAATTAATAGTTATATCTTAACATGAATTGCAAATGAATTCCCATGACATGCTGTTACAGAGTGAGTAAACTTTTATTTCCAAAATTCAATGTGAAATCGAAACGAAGAACCAATACCCCGATTAAATCAACAGCAACAACAACAACAAAATGTTTCCACACATCTATATCTATGTTATATATATATATATATATAGCTATATATAGTCTATATAAGTCCATATATATTTTCCCAAAAAGTACACAATATGCGAACCCAATTAAATGCCTAGGCTAACAATATATACATATATGTATAGTATATAGTATATATATAGTATTAGCACTTAAGTTAAGTAACTACTGAATTTCCATATAAGTCGACATATGTAGAACATATCATTTAGTTCGTTGTTTGTATTGCACTAACATTTACTCCTAAGTTCTTACTTTCATGTCAATTTTGTTTTGTTTTGGTTTTTGTTTCTGTTTCTGTTTTTGTTTCTGTCTGAAGTATCGATATGTTATGTGTTTGCATCAGTTTGGTGATTTATTAAACTAATAACATATTCTTAAGCTGTATCTGTATCTGAGTACTGCTGAATGCCGCAGATAATTGGCCAAAAGTTGATGATGAATTGTATTTGTGTATTTGTTGCTCGTCTAGTTCGTATTTAGCACCTTTTGTAACTCTACCTTTGAACATGAGACAACCACTATGTATATATGTATGTAAAACCACGATTTGCTTTTTATATAGAAATCTTGTATCTCTATCTTGTGTATTATTTTGTGCCTATGAGCAAAAGCAATTCATTTTTTGTCGGGGGTTTTTGGTTTTTTTTTTTAATATTTTTTTTTTACAATTCCCAACTTTCGCACAACTTTTGAGTTGATCAAGCAAAAATATTGTTAGCCTTAATTATTTCTTTTACATTTGTTTTGTATACATATAATTGCAGTATTTGCGTAGTTTACATTTTGGGTTTTTATTTACATAACGTTGAAATTCGAGAAATACTTTATTTGATTTAAATCCTCTTTTTCTTCTTTTTTAATTCTGGTTTAGCATAAGCGCTCGTTACATTCAAATCTACTAAGCTAACTATTCGCCTTTAGCTTATTTTTTTTCTTTCCACCTGAAAGCCGTCGTAAACAATAAATCCAATATTATTAACCAAATGCTTACAACCAATTAATAAGGACACAAGAATGAAAAAAACATGAAGATCAATTTGAACAACCTTTTGCGCTCTTTCTCTCTTGAAATCTCTCTATCTTTCACTTTCTTTTTAGTTTTGAGCATATTCTGTTCCAAATTAAAAAACCTTAAAACCTATTTGAGAAAAAAAAAAACAAATCAGTTTGATTTCTTGAGAAAAAAAAATAAGAAGAATAATGAAAATATAACCAAAATACTAACCCGATCCCAACCTAACCCAGTACCTATTTCCATTCATTCTGTACATTTTGTTTTCGCACCCGCACAAAACCTAATACCGTTGCCTACTATGCTTACAGCTTCCGAGGAGAACGTGCTGTCCTATGAGGCCGTGCAGCGTTTATCCATTAGCTATACACGTCCCGTTATAATATTGGGACCACTTAAGGATCGTATCAATGACGATTTAATATCTGAATACCCGGACAAATTCGGCTCATGTGTGCCACGTAAGTCTTTACTACTCGTAACAATTAAATATTGTAGGAATTAGAAATGTCACTTAAATAACAAGATTTGAATGGATGCTTGTAATTCTCAACAAGTGTAATGATTAGAACAATTCTAACTATTTGTACTATAAATGAATTAAAATGAACAACTGAATCTCCTGCCACAGATACCACACGGCCGAAACGCGAATATGAGGTAGATGGTCGGGACTATCATTTTGTGTCATCGCGCGAACAAATGGAGCGTGATATACAGAACCATCTGTTCATCGAAGCCGGCCAATACAATGACAATTTGTATGGCACATCGGTGGCCAGCGTGCGCGAGGTGGCCGAAAGGGGCAAACACTGCATACTGGATGTTTCGGGCAATGCAATTAAGCGCTTGCAGGTTGCGCAACTCTATCCGGTTGCTGTTTTCATAAAGCCCAAGTCTGTGGACTCTGTGATGTAAGTTATTAAATATAAACTATATACGGAGTTCCATATTTATAATGCACTCGTTGCAGGGAAATGAACCGTCGCATGACCGAGGAGCAGGCAAAGAAAACATATGAGCGCGCTATTAAAATGGAGCAAGAATTCGGCGAATACTTTACGGGTATGTTGCGTTTGCGTTGGTCTTGTTAAAATTATTCAATTAAGTATTCAATGAAATTATTCAAATTTGTAACTTGTTGCAGGCGTTGTACAAGGCGATACAATCGAGGAAATATATAGCAAAGTCAAATCAATGATTTGGTCGCAATCGGGACCAACTATTTGGGTACCATCGAAGGAATCTCTATGACCAACAGCCACAACAACATGGACACTGCCGCCTCGAGTACGTTGTCGACCTGTCTCGAGAACACCAACAACAACAGCAGCAACAACAGCAGCAGCAGCAACAACAGCAGCAGCAGCAACAGCAGCAACAACAACAAATCAGCCGCAACAAAAAACGTCACATTGATGCAACAACACAACGACAATGCAAACATCAACAACAGCAACAGCAACAACATCAACATCAGCAGCAGCAACAATGCGCAGCAGTCAAATCGATGTTGTTCATGATTAGATTGGTTATTGTTTTTTCTTTATAAACAATTAACATTTGCCGGCGCAGTTCAATACGAGCCCAAATCAAGAAAACACACTAAAACAAGATTCTTGGCTATTAGCTCTTAGCTCTCTTGCTGTGAGGACAAACTGTTCAAACTGAAGCGGCGGCTGTTTAGTTTAAGTTAGAACAAAATTGATAAAAAAAAAAAAAAAAAACAAACACACACATACATGCAAACTGAAAGCATATTAATCGTAAGATCTACATAATATGAAGCAAATGAGGAAGATCCGAAAGGAGAACGTTCGTTAAGCGCTAGTGTTGTTTGTTTATGTTGATGTTTATACGAGAGTTATAGCGAGCTAGTTATATTGACGCTAATGATAATATGGTACATTATTGTATACATATGCATATATTGCATATGTATGCATAATAGGTATAAAAAGTTTAAGTGCGACAAGCGTCAGATATGCTACGTTGAAGGATAGCAATTGAAAATGAATCAGTTTGCGAATACGACTATATAGGTATATATATGGGTAAATAGATAACGACGACGACGACGATAAGTTGGTGCATTTGTTGTTAGATGTATTGTATTTTTTCCCCACGCGCCTTTGCCTAATGCAACACAAATCACACGATAAGAATCATGCTGCATAAGCACACCTACACACACACACACACACACTGAATCACACACATCTATGTACACAAATACCATGTAGCCTAACTAAAGAAACGCGTCAGCAACGAGCTATATATTTATATGTATATAGATATATGCGCTATATATATATATTTATTAAAATGAGTATATAGAGAGGGAGAGAGGGCAATATCACTTCTTTCAATACAAAAAGTCATTTTACTATTTAACATACGATTTATATGTTAGACAGCATTAACTAATTCTGAAAGCGTCATGTTGACTTCAAACACATACACATACGCATATTACGATCAATACAACATATACACCCATATATATTATATACTTATATATATATAGAAATATATATGGTATATAAATAATATACACCGATACGGTTTAATTTTACAATTGAATATGCAACAACATAAATACCTTGTTGGTATTGACATATATATATATATATATATATATATATATATATATATATATATATATATATATACATATATTTTTTTTTTGTATTGACAGCAAACAATTAGCTAATGTTCAACAAACAAACAAATTTATAAATTATAGACAACGCACATAACTGCTAATGACCCATTTTTTTTCTACTTTTCTATATATATTTTTTTTCTAAGAAATTTAGTAAAATTCAAGTTTAATATGATGATTTATTTTTTTTTTTTTTTGTTTCGTGTGTGTCGCCAACTTTCCAGAATATTGAAAAGATCTATCAGAAAGTAATGTATACGTTGTGCATTTATGTACATAGCTGTATATCATATGGAAAGGGAAACATTTGCATATTAATAATATATATATATATTTTTTTTTTTCGTCTCTGTCCCTTACTTTGTAACATCAATATTTTGTAAATTATAATACCTTCGATCCCTGCTTTATAAACATTGAACAGTATATGTACGTGCAGACAATGCATACAAAATTCGTTTTCACATAGTACGCAAAATGCATTGTTGTATTTAATAAACACAAACCTAAGCGAATTATATTAATTTAAATTTAAACAAAAAAAGCAGTAAATGTAATAAAAATAAACTACAAAAAAAAAATGACAACACATATTTCATCAAAGCCGTAACAACTTTTTAATCAATTTCCAAGAAAACTTTCAAGAGGAGGTGTGAAAAATTTACAAATTATAAAGAAACCAAGATTTTGTAAAACTGTAAAAAATGTGTAACATTTAAACATTTCACTACAGTACACACACACACACACACACGCACACTCAAACACACACACATACAGTTAAATTTAGTGAAAATCTACCGTTAAAGCCACGACTGCGAAAAATGTGAAAGAAACTAAATCAAGGCAAATAGGATATGACACACTTATTGACGATTCTTATGGCGAATATATTCCAGATTGGGTATATAGTATAGTATATAAGATTGCCAAAATGTTATAAGCCTTAGACGAAATAATTGTGTACTAAACTGAGCGATATGCCCAGAATTCATTCGGTGCGCATTAGGACTGTGTTTGGGATACCAAAAATTCGGAATTCGATATTTGTCATTTACATATGGCATATAGATGTATGCGGCACACTCATACGTGGCTCTTATGATACACTTACTTTCATTAATATTAGTGGCCACAGTATGTGCGCCGAATAGACTCCTTCACTCTTTAAGTATGTACATATTGTACGGATTTTGTCTTTTTCAATCGATAATCTAATAAATATTCTGCCTACCAAACACCCGCCTTGCAATCTCTTAGTGAAGTACCTTGCGCCTGTGTAAGCAAAATTTAAACGGAAAGCAATTTAAAGTACATACAACATACAAAAGAAATGGAATTAAATTGAATGAAAATTGAAAATCAATGGCAAATTTTACACATGCATGGTTGGAAACGTATGTGTGGGGACATGTTTAAATAGTTGATAGTTAAATAATACAGAGAGTGTATATCTTATAAGTATATACTATAACAAATGAAATGAATAGATTTAATAACGACTTACTGTATGTAGCTCATATAGAAGAATTTCACATACTTATGGGGTTTTAAGCCCAAATGCGGTAAACTTTCTTTTCTAATAGAACATAGTATATATATATATATATATGTATATATATATATTTCAAAGTCAAGGTAACTGTTCCAAAGCCTTAAATGCAATTAATTAACGCATTTACGAGTATATCCAAGTTACATACACATACATTGCTTATCTATGAAATGCCCTATTTCTAATGATGAAAACAAAAATGAAAAACAAAAAAAAAAAAACAAATGACAATTTTTGATGTAGCCTTAGAAAATGTATGCAAGAATTTACCAAAACGAAAAAAAAAATGAAAAAAACAAAAAACATTTATTAGATAAATTAAATAATACCATAACACAGAAAACAATACATATTTATAATGTGTATTAAAACTAATACTGAAAGGCATTTAACGATCCCATTGTTCAAAACAATTTTGTGCTACATCATCTAAATGATGAACAAAACGATGAATATCGTACATTTTGTCAGCGTATACTTAAAATTTTTGTGGAAGCATTTCATCAAAATGGTGCCTTTATCAGTTATTGTTGTCGGTATTAAATGAAAAAAAAAAAAAAAAAAAATAAGTAAAACAAAAAAAAAAGAAGAAAAACAGATAAAATTACATAAATTTATATAGTTAAGTATAATAATCCGTAATGCAGCACATGCTATTTATTGTAGATTTGAGAATTGAAAATATTTTGTTGCGGGCTGTGATATCCGCTCGAACATCTTAAATATCAGCTTAAGGAATTTAGTTCAAATTGATTGAAAAGCTGTTGCTGCTTGATCGTTGCTCCCCGTTCAAAATTCATACCTCCCCCAGCACACAACCCCCACCCACCCGCCAGGCCCTTCACTAATTCTGTGCTCGTACAACAAAAGTAATCATTTATTGAAATCAAGATATTCAAAGAGCGATTTGTTGTTAAATGTTAAATTCTTCTGCTTAAAAACAAAATGTACTTAGTTGATTACTTATTCGCTTTAAATAATATGTTATATGCCAGCACTTAAATGCATATATTACATATGTATGTATGTAGCTTATAATGAGCTCAAATGCGTAGTTAAAATTGTTAAACTATCTGCAAGCAGATAAAAATCCACTTAGCTAAGATTTCCATTGATATATTTAATAGCGCAATTCAACTTCAACTGCTTAATTCTCGGCATAATCCTGATTTCATTTACATGGGCTAGCTATATTTATTATACTGCTCGGTTTTCCGCATGTGCATAATGAGAGTCTTTTTAACTCGAAGCCTAAACAATTGCTTTGCTTAGTTTTTCTCATACTTATGCTATATTTTCCTGAGCAGCTACTCAAAAAGTGAAATGCGAAAGGCAATTTCTTCTCAGAGTAACACACTCTGTTCGGCCGGGTGGGGTGGGGTGGTGTGGGGTGTGTGGGGGTGTGGTAAACTACAGATATTCGCGGTCGTGGCACAAATGCACTTGTGTACATACACAAACACATGCACATATGCACACCTACGTTTGTATTTAAAATACATATATACTACATATGTATATGTATGCATGTACACACACCTACACCTACACAGTCAGACACACGCACACACACGTACACACAAATTAGTTATAAAAACAGTTTGAGAACTCTGCATAATGTATTATTATTTAAAAGTTCATCAAAAGATGCGACATTCGTAATAAACAACAAATTCAATACGTAATTTATTTACTAATCTAATGTCTTACATGCATGCATACATACATACATACACACATGCATACATACATGCCTATGTATATGTGAGTGTATGTGTGTGTGCACATGCAACTAGAGCGTTCCCTCATTTGAGATTTAACGCTTGGAGTTTTCAGCCCAACAAATGAGTCGTGCCGCATTTTCAGCTTGATTTTTTAGCTGGACACGAGCACGGATCAGACATTTTAAGCACGCTCACGACAAGCACGACCCAAAGTGGACACGGTGCACGGTGATGCACACAAACAAAGTTCAATTTTTCGAAATTTGATTTATTAATTGTTTCCTTATAATTAATTTAACGTACAATTATATAACTTAATAGCTTTTATACAAGTTTAATTATTATCTTATGTATAACAAAACAGACAAGATCAAATATCTCTGCAGACATTAGGAGACGAATGGTCCGATTCTGTACAGTTTTGCTGGTATGAATAGAAGAATAGAATAATTGCCGAGCAGAGCAAGTTTTCCAAAACAAAACGCATTTTTCGCTAGATTCTTCCCATAGAGCTACTTATATGCTAAAGTTCTCCGATGTTAATAAGATTTTCTACATTCGTTAGGAGCTTGGAAAAACTGGTAAATGTTAAGGTTGGTCAAGATATCTCGATATTCAAGCGATAGTTCCTACGGCAGCTAGATGATAAAGTTCTCTGAATTTTAAAAGGACTTTGAGCTTATGTTAGGAGCTTACATAAACTGTTAGTCAAATGGCATGTTTTGTCGAAATTTATTAAAAAAAAAACAAGAAAGTTGTTTCCTTCAGAAAATCAATTTTTTGACTATTTATATATATATATGAGATAGTTGTCCGATGTTAGAAAGATATTGCCCATTTTGCCCAAGTTTGGTAAAAATATCTTGAAGATCGCAAAAAGTTGCTTTCTATGTAAGAACATAGTGTTCTTCCTATGATAGCTATATGATATATTGGTCCGCTGTTGGAATAATTTTGCCGATTATTGGGAAGCATAGTAAAGCAAATAAATGACAAGGTTTATCAAGATATCTTGAAGAGCAAAAGAGATGCTTACACAAAAACTCTTTTCTCGACCGATTGTTCTACATAGTCCATTATATGACATATATGCTGCCTATAACTAAAATACATGCCCGTTAATGGGCTGATAGCTTTAAAACTCAGCTGATCAAAAATATATAAGTATATAAGCAAGATAGTCACTAGTCTAAGAATATTATATCCGTATTATATAAACGTATGCTGCCTGGGTGTTGCCTTTCGTATCGCTCTGAATCTCGTGTTTTTGTGGTCGAATCGGGAAAAAGTACTCACCTAGTTTGTACTCGCATAGCGAAGTAGTGCGTGCAATTGAACTGAGTCTGATACGATCCAATTAGCCTAATTAACTGGAATGCGCGTTGGCTAATTGGATGGACTGTGGCTACTTGGACGAACGCAGATAGATATCGAATTGGACGAGCGTTATGAAATAGGAGAAGGCCGTCACCGAAATGATATAGATGAGCCGCCGGTCCAGATGCAGCAGCCCGCACAGCATGGGCTGTCGATATTGCAGCAGCTGCAGCGAGAACTGTTCCAGCTGCAAAGAAGCGCAACAAGGTGAGACAAGCAATTGATTGGAGTAGCTGGCATGGAGCACCTCTTGGCTTAGACTTCTCCTGGACGTTGCCAGCGTCGGATATTCGCAGAACCGACGCACGGTCAGTGCGAGACGCGTCTGCTCCACCTTGATATGCTCGTTCACCAGGGTGACTATGTAGGTGTCCACATAGAAGCCGAACGCATAGAGGCCGCTGACCGCAATCGAATAGGAGACATTCGCGAGGGAGTGTGTGGCCAGCATATTGAAGATGGTAAAGAAATTGGTCAGATTGTTGATCAGCGTTGTCAGCATCAGACCAAGCAGCTGGAACTGATGCATCCGAAAGCTGCCCACATAGAGGGCGTGTATATCCCCGAAACGTGCACGCAGCCTGGCAATCCGATGCGAGAGCCGGTCACATTGCTTCATCCACAAGGCACGCCGCAGCGGCTGCGATTGCAGACGCCGCAGCTGGCCGAGAACGGCACACAGCTGGAGATGCAGCAGGCGCAGATACTTGAGCACACTGCCGTTAATGTAGTAGAAATAGTCGGCCATGTTCTCCGTGTAGTTCCACAGCACGAACGAGTAAATGGCAAACTGGGTGCGCAGCTGCCCGCCAGCGGCGCGGTCCGTCGCAAATATGCCGCACACCTGGGCAATCATCATGACGTTTATCAGCACGAACTTGAAGTACATGAAGAGCTCAAAGCTGCGCTTGGGCCATCTGGGACCACGGTAGCTGGCGGCGAATGCCGCTTCCAGGCGGGCACGCTGCAGCGTGCAGCCATGATTGATGGCCTTAAAGTGGAACGTGTTGGCCATGTAGGTGACTATGACCGTCGCGTATTTGATGAGCGTATTGACGAACGATACGTACAACACCAGCTGCATGCGCCGGTCATCCGCTGCCGTCAGCGCTCGATAATTGTAGCCAAAATAGCAGGGCAGCACGACAATCAGCAGCAGGCTGAGCACATGGCTGTAGCCGATGAGCAGCTTCTTCAGCGTTGGCCGCATTTGGCGCTGCGGTACATAATCGATTATTACCTGGCCATAGATGTTCGCATAGATGTGGCCGTATCTGTAGAACTTGTACTCGTGCCGCTCCCAGAAGCTACGCCTATCGCACATACCGTTCACTCAGCTTGCCGCATTTGCACTGAATGCGGCAGCCTGTTTCCTGTGTCCTGTTGACTGTTGCCTGTTGCTGTGGCACGCTTGAGTGCTGGTGCGTGGCGCCTTGCATGTCGATATGGCGATACGTTCAATATGCAAGCAGCAACTGACACGGCGAATTACGGTGAGTGGTGGGAGAGGGGAGAGGTGGAAAAAATGGAGTATACTTATCTTCGGCTTATAGAATACTTTTGCACCGATGTGCCAGATGATCTGATTCAGATCTGATTCAAAGACGTATTTACATGCGAACATGCATGAACATATAGAGCTAAATGTTAAAGAGATAGAGCTACTTAGAGTTAAAAAAAAAACCAAACTTCTTTTGGCAAATTTTCTGTTATATTGGAAAACAATCAAAATCGAAAATACCTATCTACTCCATGTACCCCTCCTCTTTGTATGTGCAAAAAAAGATGCATGCGTATACTTAATATTCCAGCAGCCGACTTTACAGTCGCATTAACAGCTACTGCTGCTGCTTAACAGCCGATCTTACAGGCGTCTGCTAAGAACAAGCGAACTTACAGCAGTTTAACATTTGTGCCCCTGCGCTTATGCAATGAAATTTTTATCAAGCAAATATTTTACCAACCTGCTTGCCATTTATGTTCGCCTGGTATTTCAGTTGATTTTTTGTCAGCCACGAATTTTAGGCTCGCTAATTTTTAAATAAAATAAATAAATTTTTGTATTGAAAGTAAATAATAGAGCACACATAGAGCTTATAGGTGTTCATATATCAATATATTTCGTGGGAAATTTTTTATATTTGATATATTTCGGGTATATCAACTGCGATTTCGGGATACATAAATGTTTAACATATTCACCTAATTTTAAATTTAAAACCTTCGAGAGTTATATATTTGAAATCTTTTTTGAACAACTGCTTAAGCAATAAGGATTTGGTTTGGCTTTACATATATTGCAATATATTTGTCGGATTGAGCAGCTGAGCAGATCAGGACTGAAAAGACTTGGCCAGTGCGATAATGGAACCAGATGTTTGCAGTATCTGAAAAATAAGAAGGAGTTAAACTACAAATGCGAAAACCAGCAGACAGCAAGATTCAGATTTGGAACGCACAGCGGCAAAGGTGCCCAACGAGGGCGAGAAGAATGGCACGGCCATGGTGAGGGCGCGCTGCGACCGCATGATGAAGAGATACACATAGAGCCGATGCTTGGGCAGGCACAGGTGCCACGGACAGGTGCTCATCACGGTGGCCAGTTGAGCGCTCTGCAACAAATGAGATGGATAAACAATCAATCGGCACGCCCCCGAATAGGCGAATGGCACTAACACTCTCCGTGACCAGAGTGCCGCCATAGCAGTAGATGACCAGCTGGCTGAGGGCGGCGACAGTGTAGCCTACATAGAGCAGGGTGCCCAGGCCGCTGCCGCCGACGGTCAGCAGATCGAAGATGCTGAAGCCGATCACCATGCTGGCGGACACAAAGTGGGCCAGTGTGATGATCGCATAGCGTTGCCGAAAGAAGTGGGTTAGCTCGAAGATTTTGTTGTGTCGCTCGATCAGCTGCACCAGAGACGCCTCGAAGCGTATGCTGCGCAAGCCTCTTATCTGTGCGAGTCCTATCGAAGGAGGAGAAGAAGCAGGAGCAAGAACAGTTGGAGAAGGAGCTGCTGGTATCAGAGCTCCGATGGTGCTGCCTTTTGACCTTACCCTTGTACGGCCGGAAAAGCCCACGTGTGTCCGCCTGCAGAAAGTTGAAGAGCGTGGCAACGTGGACGCAAAACTCAAAATAGAAGGCGTCACAGCCGCCAAACATGAAGATGGTTACGTAGCCGGTGTACGCGATGAACATGTACGTGAACGGAAAGTATGGTGCATGGAGTAGCCAACGGGGCATGCTGCATCATGGATTGCAAATGGGAACAGTTACTGCTCAAGAAGTACCCCATGCCCCATCCAAATCCAACTCACGTCATATTGAAGGGTGTGGTGCTCCAGACAATCGCATCGCTCCGTCCCTGCAGATACAGCAGCATGGCCAACAGCATTGGCTTCAGATTGTACATGGTGCACGTAAAGAAGCCGGCGGAGAGTGGCCAGAAGTTGAAGCGGGCTGCCATTTCGGAATGATGACGCATTAGCTGCTTCTTTTCGGCCGACAGGGACTTCTTTTGGAACAGCAGCTGGCGCTGATGGGTCAGCACGTATAGGAGATCCTGACGATAGCGAAGCATGAAGAACATTTTCAGCAAGGTGACGGCCGAGGTGCCCGCCGGGCAGAACGTCTCCAGGGCCATGGTTATCTCGCCCGCTCGCGCAAACGAGAAGCCCGCGTGCAGCTCGGTTGCCACGCCAATGGCCAGGACCACAAAATGGACGAGCGCCCTCCACTGTAACGGTCCGGGCCAGAAGCCCATCAGGTTCAGGCATAGACGCGGCACGGCGTAAAAGTATAGCGACAGCGGTTGATTCCTGTACAGGAAGCGAAATCCAAAGTAGCCAGCCATAACCCAAACGTTTCTCAAGCGCCGTCGAAGCGAGCTTTCGTTTTTATACGCCCTCTTGGCCTTTGACCAATCGCTAATTGACTTGTTGTGCAGGCAATTAGAGAAGTTTGGCTACCAACTTTCAAGGCTCAAGCTGCCCGTTCTCACACATTTCTGCAGCCCAGAGCTGAGCACCTGCCCAGCCGATGCCGGACGGTCTACTTCTCGCAATATTATGCAGGTAATGTGTTCATTGCACTTATATAATTTTGAAAGTCAATAATAAATATATATAAATATGTGTAGTTGGGTGTTACCCGGCGTTCCCTGGGTGATCGAATGATATTAGAGAAAGAGGTTCTTAGAATTCATTTCCGCCAATTTATCACAGTTACGGGCGGAAATGGAGCATGATATCAACCAATCAATTCGCTCGTCGCTCAAGCACTTTTTTCTGTTTCGAAATCGATTTAAAATGGATTGGGAAAAATTTAAGCCACAGCGAGTAAATTCGCAATGTTTTTTTTCGAGTATTTCAAGATATTCAGCTAAAAATATTTGAAATACGGAAGAGGCAAACATATTCAAGCCGACATAATGTGAATTTATTTCAAAGCCATTGTTTCTTTTAGCTGTTTTTTGTGTAGTTTTTTCTGTTGCCTTTTTAGCTGCTTTTTCTTGAGCCTTATATCCAGCTTCTGCTGCAGCTTTTGCAGCTGTTTCTGTTTCCATTTGGGATTTCTACACAGAATTTGCATGGTTAGCGTGCGGACCGAAAGCAGGGCCAGATTCTCAATGAGGCAATTGATGCGATCCTCTTTGATCAGCTTGACGGATTCCAGATGCTTAATCCTGTCAGTTATTGAACTAATATAGTTGTCCATCTGGTTGCTCTCGCGCATCAGCTCCTCATACTTGGCATCAAGAAACGACTGCGGATCACAGCTGTGCACAACCTTCGTGTGGATCGGGATCGATTCATCCGGCATCTCAACATCGGTGCCGGTCCCAATCCCAGTGCCAGTGCCTGTCAGACAGGTGCGCGAGCCGGCACGTAGCCTGATCCCATTGCGCTCCGCACACATCAGTTGGTAGAGCAGCGATTTGATGGCACCGAGATGACCCGTGGCCAGATCCTCGAGCGCCTGCCGTGACAGAGTCATGCCCATCTTGCGCAGCACCAACAGATTGAATGTCTCCCAGTTCTGCAGCTTCAAGGACAGGCTGCTGTGCGAAAAGTAATTGTGTGCCTCCACCAGCTTGTAATCAAGCTCCTTGAACAGCTTCGCAACATTGGCCACATCGCAGAGATTGCGACGTGTGCGATTGTTGAGATTGATCTGTTTGATCGTGAGCCAGACATCCAGCTGCAGCTCTTCCTCGGCGCTCAATATGCGGCTGTTCGACATTCTAGTTTGATATTGGATTGTGATTTACCTATCTCAAACGTTTTCTTCAATTTATCAATATGCGTGCCTTGGGTAATATACAAAATGTGTGAGAATTAGTTTGAGACAATTTTGATAAATGCTTTCTGACTGCACAGAACCGCGTGGAATATTATTATGACAGCGAAAATTCCAAATGCCAGCCTACTTCAATTCATTTTCGCCTTGCACATTTAAAGCATTCAAACCTAGTCAACCACTCTAATTATTGATTAATAGTTAATCATTTTCAATTAATAATCTCTCTGTGGCCGATTTTGATAGCACGCCAAACTACTACTCGGCGCAAGCCCAGTAACAGACGTGATAAGGTCGCATTTCTTCTCGAACCACCACAGAATAGTTTATAAAATTAATAATTTATTCAATAATTTGGGCATTCATATCGATGCGCATAAGGCTTGTCTTGCCTAAATATTCAAAACTTTTCAGATTAATTAGTATACATTTTTAAATTGCCCGTTCTACTAAAAATATTGCCTATCGTACATATTTTCATATAGAATTTGCGGGCTATATTTGAACTCTAATAAATTGAAATTTGGAGCGAAGGAGCAATCGCAAGTCTATAAAAGTAATTGAAAAATTCAAAAAAAAAATATATATACATACATAAATATAGTAAATACTAAAGTATATTAAAAACTAAAATATATATATAATATATATCTGCCAGCTGGAATATTCAGCAATTGAGCTTCTCAAATGTGGCTGTCATTATGTCAAGTGGCAAATGTTGTGGGTGTTAGCGATTTACGCTGATGCAAGAACTAAATAAGTGTATTAAAATATTGGGAGGGAAAAAAAAGTGGAAACTAAAAGCAAAAGTTATATAAACTGCAAAATTGGCCAGTTTTTGATGGGCTCGACTCTGGCAAGCCAGAATTAGGCGAGTATTTTTGCAAATTGAATCAACGCTAATTGAAGGTTCAGAAATTGTTCCATTTTGTGGTTATTACTAAATCGCAGCTAGCCAGCAGTTGGGGCAACTGTCTCTGGCACTGGCACTGGCACTGGCACTGAAACTAGCACCTGACCCCCGGCTGCAACGGCAGCAACAACAACAACAACACCAACAACAACGAGAAGAAGAGTCACACGCAATCCAATTACAACAAATTGAAGCAAGCCGCGTAGTCAATTGACTACGTCGGATGATGATGACTGGGCATTGTTTTTAATGTGGACTCAACCGGCGGCTCATCAAATTGAAAGCGGGAGTACCGACTGCTGGACAGTGTAGCCCATACCCGATCACGAGATCAAGCCCTTTTTTTTTTTTTTTTTTGAATATTTTTTATATATATTCTTGTGTGCGTGTGTGTGCGCGCCCTTGACAGGCTAGTTAGTGTTCATGATAATATTGTGGGCACAGTGTGGGATATACTTGGTGCTGGGTGCTGTCACCGCAATGCACATGACTATTAGATAAGTTTATTATAGAATAAATACGCGTGCGGGACCTGACTGTGCGCACCCATAAAGAAGTTAAGCAATTCAGCTGTTTAAAGCATAAATTGTTTAATAGAGTTGGACGCGACAATTGGGGGGCTCATATAAAAGTGTCGCGTTTATTAATACCATATACCCTGCAATTATCAAAAAATTGCTAAAAGAGGGTTGCTGCAACAGTTGCAAATGATACGAGCAGCCCAAGGCTTTCATATTGCATACAGATATGGTATTATATACGATATGGTATTAATATACCCTGCAATTATTAAAAGTGCTGCAACAGTTGCAAGTGTTACAGGCAGCAGAATACATATTTTCATTTGATTTGACCAACAACAACAAACTTCTACTTTATGCCAATTGATTTACTTTGAAGTCATGCCTTGATGTTTGGCATATATATGTCCAATCAATAGAGGATATCTGCTAGTCGAATTGTTTTGAGCAGGAAACATTGGCAGTTATATTTAATTTTCCGGACCAGTCAGTACCGCGGTCCTTCAATACGAAAAAAGGTATAGAAATATCAGATAAGCATAAGAATTCAAAGAATCGATTTTTATTTTTATGATAGTACGTCAAAGTTTGCTTTTGTGCTCATGAGCAAAAAGACATATTTGTGTGTATGTATGCATCTGTCTAATATATGCCAGTATGTGTGTGTGTGTGTGTGTTAGATGTGCGTATTATATAATTTTTGCGATATATACGCAGTCTGTCGAATGCGAATGCCGCTCCATAAATTGCCATTTGATGAATAACAATTAAGCAGGCATTTTTAATTGGAACATTTATTTGCTGTTCTTTTATAATTTGCGAATATTCGGAAAGTCTCAATTGCTCTGCGCTGTGAAATTAAAACAATCGACAGTCGTCGGGCTCGCCGGCTCGTAAATCTTGTATTTGGCCCATAAACAAGCTGCGCGCCAGACCTCTTCAAATGGCCTGCCTCAATTACTCATACGCCGCGTGGGATCGAGCGACCACCTCAGCTGCCTTCACCTAGTTCGTGTTTTGGTTATCGTTGCCACTGGCCACCAGCACCGACCACATAATTATCAAGAATTTATTTTTTTTCATTTACTTGTCCTGACCATTCTGTACAGAGTATTACGCATGCAGCCAGGGCTAAATGCTATCAGAGATCAAAGTTTGCGACCAGGTTTATGGCCCCCACACCGCCGATCGAAATGAAAAGCAGTTCAGCTCGGCTCAGTTCTATGGAGTCTCAATACATTTGCCAAAAAGCTCGTAAAAATGGCCAGACAAAAATGCCGACGGACGCATGCGCGATTCACGTGAACCGAGTGCCGAAAACTAGTGAACGGCTGGAACGTGAGACGTCGAACGTGGAAGTGTGGTATGTCGTACGTAGAACGAGGAACGAGGAAGGGGAAACGAGCAGCAGCTGACGGTCGGCAATCGATCAATAGAAAAAATAATTTGCACTTGTTGTCTCTTTTCTATCTATACATGCACTGAGAGAAAAACATTGAGAAAATGTTCTCATTTAGCTTGAACAAAATCGTTTGTGAAAATTCTTCAAACAAATACAGCTTCAATATGTTTGACGGTTGAAATTTTAAAAAAGAGATTGCATATGAGCGTCGCCCAAATAGTCGAATTGCCTGCGAAAACGATTTCACATATGTTGGCTGAGCCCATTTCACGGCTAAACGTGAATTTGCAAAACGTATCACTATTTCGATTTTCGATTTTAGTTAAAATTGAAAAATGATTCTTTCCATTTAGTTCTTGTTGTATTGTTTTTTCCACACAATTTTCTCACCGTGTAAAAGTTTTTATGTTAATTGTTCATTAAGCGTTTAAATAAAATTAAGTATTTTTATTTCGAACATTTGTCCAGTCGTCTGGCTGCCTTTATTTGCGTTTATTTTTAGGTTGCCGGACAAACGTTATTCTTGGTGTTTGTTTGACTTCCAGATTAATTTGTAATGCAAACGGCGCGTGCACAAAACTGTCAAATAATTGTGTTTTGACCTTAAAACAACTGCTGAACCTTGCGAGAGAGAAGCGACGATAAGTTCAAGTGAGAAGAGCGTGCAGGTCAAATGCCAAAGAACCCTTTTCATTGTTTGAAATTGAAAACTTTGGTGGATTATAATGCATCCATTGTAACGAAGTTTGGGATTGGAATATATTTTCATTGATAATCGATTGCCCTTGGAAACGTTGAGAGCGTAGTCAAAAGATTCTTTAGCCCTATCTTGGGCCTCCGATATATACATATGTATACTCTATGTAAATATGTTGGCATACACGAGACAATTAAGCAATCAGCGCCAAACCCAAAGTGCGAGAATCTTGAATGGGTAATTAGCACATTGTAGGTCTATCTGTTATTTTCAGACGTCATAAATATAATCAAGAGCCCCGCATCGCACCGCCGCCCCAGCTGCTGTCCACGTCCGAAGCCGAGCGGTCGACATGTATAAAAGCTGATCAATCGACGCTATAAGTGCGCAGTCCGTCAAGAAAATCGCCATCGTCTCTCGATTCCGCGCGCAGACGACTCAGCATTTTTATTATAGAAACCAAATCGAACTCAAGTACTCGAAATCCCGACATATCGTGCTCGGCCATAACCAGTTAACGGATTCGGATTTTCGTTTCGACCAAAAGTAGATCGTCAAGATCGCAATCATTATAACTGCTCGTTGAACTTTATTTTCTACGCGCATGTTACTCAACAACAACAAAAACAAAACCAAATAATATCAACTTCGAAATACGCAATTTTTGGCCAATTAACGGTGCAAGATAAGAATTACCAATACAGATATCTACCAACTTTATGCAACATGCATTCATCGTAAGTGGGAATGCTTCTAAAAATAGTAGAACCTTAACACACACACACACACACACACACACATTCATACATCAGCCGGTGCATAATATTCAGAGACATTTAAATCAAAACAAATTGAAATGACAACTAAATTGCTTAAAAATCAAATATTTCCGATTTAACAGGATTCTCAAAGTTATTACCTCAATTGTTGATAGAAGTCAACCGCTTGGGTCTTACTACTAGAATTTAAGAAAATATATTCTTAGTTTCAAAATAGAAAACTTTACATCTTAAATCAGGTTTAACTCATTCAGAGAATTATATCTTCTACAGCAAGAAATACAAGTTGCTCAACAATTTTCTAAAATATCGTTAAGATTTTTTTTTGAGTGTTCACATTATTTATAATTTCTTGAATATCGAATTTGGATTTTCAATAAAATCAGTTAAAGCATCATTACATGGGATTCTGAATGTCTATGAAATGTATGTGAGCTTGAAAATTGCCTTTTATCTCAATTACTTTTATAGAAACTAATCCATTCTCCTAGAAAGAAAAAGTCACAAATAATATAATCATATAACACGTACATACAAGTATACATACATCATAAATATGTTTAAGTTTGAACGATTCATCTTCTTTTTTTTTTTTTTGGTCAAAGTAGTCTGTATTCAATTCCCGGGTAATTCGTAGATTCACTTAAAACAGAATCATTCGCACCAAGATAATCATACGGAATCAAATAATCAGACCCAAATAGAGAGCACTCGTTCATCTACATATATCCATGGGAACACCGCTAGTTATATGCCGGCATATAGATTTCCGCACGTAGGGAAATGGTAGTCATGCAAATAGAGCTAGAGATGACATACACACAAGTCTATGTATGTATGTAACGTCCGACATCAGCCGATAGCAATGACGTTGCATATCGCAAAAAGTTGACGTTCTGTTGTTATCTATGCCGGCATCGGATTTAGAGATGAGCGCGTGTCGTAAATATGTATATCGTGTAATAAATTAACTGTAAATTCAAAACGTGTACAGAATTCATTTTGATTCTGTCGTTGCTTTCTTTTGGGTTAGCATACTTTCATGACTACACTGAAAGAAATGGAGTTGTAAAAACTTGTTGACAATATAGATCAAACTCGTTGGCAATGCCATCCCAAAATGTATGCTAAATAAAAGTGTTCTCTTCAAAATCCAAAAACAAAAAACAGAAATCTGAAATACATGCGCTGAAATTGATCGTAAATCAAAATAGCGTAATCGTATCGTAAACGTATCGTATACGACACGTGCGCACCTCTAAGCGCAACCGGGACTTTTGCCGTTTCTCGATCATGCAGCAGCCAGAAGAAGAAGACAAACAAGCGAGCAGAGGAGCGCATGCGCTGTCCGTCAGCGCGTAGCAAGCAGCGACAGCGGCAGCAGCAGAGACGGCGACGGCAACAGCGACGGCGACGGCGACGGCGACGGTGGGTTGTAGGCGCGTTGCGACCTCTGCCTCAGTCGCTGCTGCTGCGTTGACGACATCAACAGCATTTGCTTTTGTTTTTGTTTTTGTTTTTGTGTGTGCTTTTTTTTTTATAATTTTATTGAATGTTGTTGTTGTTGCTGCTGCTGCTGCTGCGTCCGCCGGCTGTCTGCTCAGTTTGTTGTAAGTAGTAGCAGTAATAACAATTTGTTGCTGCGCTCGTTTGGGTTTTAGTTTGTCGTTATAAATTGAGTTGGAATAACGCATTCCAGCTTAGTCGTGTTCCAGTAACGTTTACGCGCGCAGCAAATATTAACTCAAGCATTCCAATAAAAGTTCCTTACGAACAAAACGATTACAATACTATAGAAAAAAGGCAACAGTAAAAAAAAAAGAACAGGTGCGCAGATAACTTAACGAGTGCATTGAAATCGTGGGACAAAGCTAACTGTTTACTTTCCATTTCACTTTCATTCACACACACACATACACACACACACACACACACACACGCACACACAATATACCAAATCCTGGCCCGGCGCCCCACATTAAACCCCCCAGTATGTCCTCTAGAATTCTGGAAGACTCGCCCAATGCGCGCATCAACAAGACCATTCTGGACCGTTATCTGACCCTGCCGCTAGAGGAGAACATTGTGCAGGCCACGTACGTGTGGATCGACGGCACTGGCGAGGATCTGCGCTGCAAGGATCGTACACTCGACTTTATACCATCAAGCCCAAAGGGTAAGCACATACGAAAAACAAAACAATGAAAAAAAAAATGAAAAGAAATTGATTCCCACGCAAGATGCGACCTAGACACTGGCACTGGCACCGTGGTCTCGCACCCGGACCTGGCCTCGCTCTCCGGCTAATCTAATCATCTGCCAAGTGGCTTAACATAGTTTTCTACTGGCAGCTCTGAGTGCCTGTCAGCATGTCAGCCCGTCTGTCTGGCTAGTCTGTCTGATTTATATCAGTTGCACTATTCTTCTCCAGGGACTGCTTAGAAGAGATTAACGGCTAAGCCATACATATATGGAGACTGCCTGAAACGAGCAAATCAACACAAGCACAGCCGTGCTGGGTACATTTCGTTTCCAATAGAAAGTCTATGTGGGGTGAATACCTTCTTAGCTTCCTGTTGAAATCAAGAAAACAATCAATCAACAATATCTACTATGTATCACTTCCGCAGGATAAAATCTCGTCAGGCCTGCATACCCATATCTATATCTATTTATCTATCTCAACAAGAGCAATACCCACTGCACTTCCCGAATAGTAGAAACTTTGACCTTTGGCCTGGCACGAGCCCAACGTCTGGGGCAACAGTTCGGCTCGGAAGTTGGCGCACAAACGTTTATTGTGGCACAGTTTATAGACGTTGAATTTTGAGTACAGACTTTTTGATAGTGCGATTCCGTTCATAAAGGCGTACAACTTAAAAGGGGTTTCACGCTGATAATTGATTACGCTTTAATGTGTTTGCCGAGCAGTCACAATTATATTAGTTTATATAGTATATGACCGCAATTAGACATGGCGCGTGTCCGTCGACTAGAGATCGGGTTTTGAAAAAAAAAAATACCCCCAATTTAAGAAGATTTTCATGTGCCGGATAACGCGACGTATGCGCAATGTGCACTACAATTTATTGTTTCAATGGAAATTGATACATATATGTATATATATATATATATTATAATGTACAATTTCGTATAATACATGCATATTATATTTCTAAATATAGTTTAAAGACAGGTTAGGCACTTGTAATTAAACAAAAGCGCAACAAATATGTGCAAATCATTTTAACTCGGAAGTGCAGCAACAATTAAATACAATATGCAACAACAATAACAACAACAACAGCAACAACAGCAGCAACAATAATAATACGAGAGAATTGATTAAATACATATAGTTCCTTCTTTAGACATTTGCGCCACATTTAACAAATGTTTTAATACTTTGTTTAATGACTTTGTTTATTTTTTTTGGTGCCTTATGCTCTTGCTACTTATGTGTTAATAGATTATTAATTAATTTTATGTTTTTTCTTTTTTTTTTTTTTTGTTCGTCATATATATTTTTTGTTGTGTGTGCTCATTATTAATCGGGCACAACACAAGACTAAATTGTGCACAATTCCTAATTAAGAATCTCTGCTGATAACTGTGTCTATGCAGGCCACATATGTGTGCATAGATAAATATATGTACATCTGTATATGTGTATATGTATTTACGTTGAGCTACAGATGCAGACAGATAGGTGTGAAATGTGCCAACACGTTTCCACACAGTTCGCAATGCGAAAAGCACAGGCGACATCTGGCAGCTGGCGTATGCGGCGTATGCGTAATATTGTTACCGACCGCACACGCCGGCGACGCGTGCCTGAATCTGGCTGGGAATAGAGCAGCAGCACGATCCGTGTGGGCGTCAGCCATATACATATATATGCTGAACTTGAAAATATATATGTACCAAAGCAATTGGCCAAGCGATTTGGCGGGGTTTTACCTGGCCAGTTCCAAGCTCCAAGCAATTACCCAAGTAATTGCAATGCGCAAATTCAATGAGCGCCGCAATTGAGGCAAATGATACTCATTAATTATGGATATGCATTTGGTTTCAAATGGCATTAAAGGGCCCCATTTGCATATCGAATGGCAATCGCAATGGCAAATTGGCCACAAATGCATAACAAATCCAACATTGGCCAATTTGGCTCATCCTTGGCGCTCGGTCGGGCGCCAGCCCTTGACAACGATTTAACTTCAGGCTGTTTATCAAGTCTATGGGGTCTATATGGCACCTGGCCCGCGGCGATATCAGAGCTGCGGCTGGGTGGGTAGGGGGGCTCAGCTGGCCAAGGGGGCTTGGAGCAAGCGTGAGGCACGAGATTGTAAATGAAAACGCTTGCCCAAGGTAACAGCTGACGCTCTGATAGCTACGGCAGTCGGCTCTAATAATAGAACTTTTCTATTACCAACTTTAATAACACATTTTAGCCCGTGCCCACCCCCGTGTCCACCCCGCTGCCCGCTCGTTGACTTTATTATTATTATTTTTTTTTTTTTGCGTTTTTTGTTTTGTTATTAAAGAAATTCGCCAAGCTAGAAACAAGCGGGTAGACTGCCAGAGTATGCCAACTATTTAATACCGGTAAGAAAAATAAATAAAAAATAGAGATGAGCGCGTGTCACGAGCCGCATGAATTAAATGTAATTTCTTCACTTGTTCAATATAAATAATAATAATAATGATAAGCAATTCCATTTATCAATTTATATATTAATTGTAATTATTGTTTTATTCGCGCATTAATTAAATCGAAAAACTTTATATAAATAATATATAATAAATTAATTAATATTTAATTACGCATTATAAGCATATATATATATTCTATAAAAATAATTTTGGATTAGTTTAATTATCAAACAAAAGAGAATTTATATATGTATTTTGACAAATGCCAAACCCACATACAATATATAAATTTGTTGTCTGCTCCAAGCTATAAACTCGGACAGACTATACATTCAATTCTTAGAAAACATTATCTGACCTCATTTTGATAATACACTTTCTCTAGAATATTCACTTTGCCTGAGCATCTTAACCTAGCTTTACAAAAATGGATTGAACATACTTAATATTACATAGTTTTTGGGATTTCCAAAAGTATAGCAATAGCATTTTTTTGAGTGTAATTTTCATCAAGTTACGAGCACGAGCTGTGTCGTGCTTGATGTTAGTCGTGTCACGACGAGACACGCGATCGACAACGAACGGATCGGATCAGCAAGTAGTGTAGCTCAGTTGGGGACGATTTAAATGCAATGCAAGTTTTCCGGCAGTTGTTGTTTGGCAGGTTCACGACAGACAATGCTGATGTACAGGGTTGGGTCGAGTTGTTGTTGTTGTTGTGGTTGTGAAATTTAATGCACAAGTGCGCAATAACTAATTTAAGTTGCATTTTATAATAGAATATGATGATATACAATGTAATATACATAATAATATATAAGAATATGCATATTAGAAATGACAGTAATATGCGGATTTAAGGCTTTTACGAGACAGGAAATGGCACTTATTGTCTCGGTTGTTGTTCTCTTTGTTCTTGTTGTTGTTGCTGTTATTGTTTTTTGTCATTGTTATTGTTGTTGGCAGGCGTGAAAGTGGCGCAAGTGCAAACTGAAAACGGAAACCAATTAACGCTAATTAATTAGAGTATCGCATTTCTAGTGCAAATTGACATACGAGGCCAATTGTTGACCGCACACAGTTCCACAGTTCGAGCACAATGATTTAATACCCTATCCTATTGTCTGATGCTTTAGAATTGCCCGTTTGGAATTACGATGGCAGCTCTTGCTATCAGGCGGAGGGCAGCAACTCGGACACCTATCTGTATCCGGTGGCCATCTATAAGGATCCCTTCCGGCGTGGCAACAACATTTTGGTCATGTGCGATACCTACAAGTTCGATGGCACACCGACGGCCACCAACAAGCGCAAATCTTGCCTGGAGGTGGTGAACAAGTGCATCGACGAGGAGCCTTGGTTTGGCATTGAACAGGAGTACACGTTCCTTGACTTCGATGGCTATCCACTTGGCTGGCCCAAGAACGGTTTCCCAGGACCACAGGGTCCCTACTATTGCGGCGTGGGTGCCAATAAGGTGAGTGGATTGACTGAAACGTGACTTCGGGACTTCAACTAATCGGATGCCAATTGCCAGGTCTATGCACGCGACATTGTCGATGCCCATTACCGTGCCTGTCTCTATGCAGGCGTCAAGGTGTCCGGCACCAATGCGGAGGTGATGCCCGCTCAGTGGGAATTCCAGGTGGGCCCCTGCCTGGGCATATCGATTGGCGACGATCTATGGATGTCGCGATTCCTTTTGCATCGCATCTCCGAGGAGTTTGGCGTAAGTCGTTGCACCCTTAGCAAACAGCTCAAAGCCTATAGCAAGACCATACGATACAGATTGTGGCCACCCTGGACCCCAAGCCGATGCCGGGTGACTGGAATGGTGCGGGCGCCCACACCAACGTGTCCACAAAGGTGATGCGCGAGGACGGCGGCATACGAGAAATCGAGAAGGCCGTCGCCAAGCTATCCAAGTGCCACGACCGACACATTCGCGCCTACGATCCCAAACAGGGCCAGGACAATGCACGCCGTCTGACCGGCAAGCACGAGACGAGCTCAATCAACGATTTCAGCGCCGGTGTCGCCAATCGCGGCTGCAGCATACGCATACCTCGCGGCGTTAACGACGACGGCAAGGGCTACTTTGAGGATCGACGCCCCAGCTCCAATTGCGATCCGTATTCGGTTGTGGAGGCCATTCTGCGCACCATCTGCTTGGACGAGTAGAACACCAGCCGCATCTGCATCTGCATCTCCAAATCTAGCGGAGCTCGATGTTGTTCACCTGACCCGGACCCGCCGCAATCCCAGGCGGAGTAAGCATAGGCGTAGCCAGACACAATCAAAACATTTACTATACAATGTGTACCCAACGTAGATTTTTTTTTTTTTTTTTATTGTTCGGTCCAGTTCTAAACGAGACCATTTAAGCAGATGTTAAAGATATATATATATATATGCATAAAGAGCTTTTTTTTGTTGTTAAACATTGTTGTTAGGTTATAGAGATTAACGGAGCACGTTGAAGAAGTAGGTTTAAAGCGATCGATTGTTGCCCATTGAAGGGTCCACAACAACATTAACAAGTACACCACCCACCCACCCACCAAACCCCACCAAGCTGAACATGATGAACCGAGAACCGATGGGTAGCAAAACAGAGAAGACAACGTTCCGGCTACCGGAGGGAAACATAACTATTAATGATATTATTTAAACATTAATTAATTACCTAAAATATCAATACCTATATATACGCATACAAACATACGTACATACATATACTCCTTAGTTAAGTAAATGCACGAAAAAAAATTCAAATGCTGGCATTTTATTGAAGCGTTGGAAAACTGGAAACTGGTTTTTCCAATAATTTGATTTTTTTTTTTTTTTTTGGCAACGATATTTGACAGAAAAATTGCCTTTCGATTTGTTTCGAAAAAATGGTTGACTCTAATATTTTGTTTAAGAATTTAACAAATTTCCTTTTTTTGCTGAAAGTTGTATACTCTAGACTTTAGACAATCAGTCTAGATTTTAATACCGGATTTCGGTTCAAGCAAGACAATCTGCTCAGTTCTGGCCAATTTATGCCAACTGAAGGATTCTTGGTTTTTGCAAGATTTTTATTTTGGCACGCATTCAAATCCCATCAAGAGAAAATTCAGAAGAACTCGATTCAGGTCCTAAAATGCTACTGAGCACGAAAACCCCGAAAATTTATTCGAGTAAAAACTATATTAAATGCTAGGAACTAGGATTCTAACGATTCTAACCAGCTCTCTTCGGTTCTTGAAGCTGAGTCCAGGTTTTGCTTCTGACTTGCTCTTATATATTAAACATTTTGCATATATTTTAATTTTCAGTTTCGTATAGCCGGTTGTACTGAAAATATGGCAAACCATAAATATTTTCATAAACAAATGCTGGCTTAATATTATCTGACATCTACCAAAGTTGTATCCAATGATTGGAGCCAAAGTTCTTTGTACTTTGACCCTGAATCTCGCACTTGACTCCTTTTTTTCGGCAATAGATTTGTCTCGTTTGGAGAACTGACTTGGTTTAAGATTCGCCGCGCTGTAAAACATTTTATAAAGTTTAAAATGCGTGTTGGTTTGGTTGCAAACCAGTTTGCAGCCTTGTTTGAATCTCAAATAAACCCGCAAAAATATCGATTGGCTGTAATCAAGAACCTTGTAATAAGCAAGAAGTAAAACATGTACCTTTATTGAATTTTGATTTTTCTACCATTTTATTTACTCGTATGTATATATATTCTTGTGATTTATACTAAATTGTATACGAATCTTTTGTTGTCTGTTCTCTGTTGTTTGAGTTCAATATATATATATATGCATATATATATTGTTATTGTTATTTGTTTATTTGCTGGCCTCAGCCTTGTAAATTGTGTATTACGAAGTGTTTGCATTTGTTGTTTTAACAACGGTCCACAAAATGTTTGATTAGTTATAGTATATAGCATGCCATAGCGGCATCTATGCACATAATATGTATGTATACGAGTACTAAGTGTCTTTAACTTTATTCGCTTTTTCTTCTTTTTTTGATTTTTATAAATTTTGGAACAATTACAACACAATATTTCAATAGTATCTACTACAAATGTAAGTATCATCATGCTCATTTGTATACTTAAACAAACACTTTCGGTATTTTAAATTGTTTACCTTAAATATAGCATTTTTTCTCTCAGTGTATTGTGTGTGTTTGTGAACATGTGTTTCAAGTAACAATAAACAAAACAAAAAGTAACTAATTAAATTTAAAAAAAAAAATTTTAAAAAAAACCTAAGAAAACTCAAGGGAAATAAATCAATTTCGGTCTGAACAAGTTGTATAAATGGAAGCTGAATCATTTATATAGGTATTGTATTACATTAAGTGTATATGTATATGTATATATATATATATATAAATATATATATGTATTTTCAGATACCTTACGTATGTGTATGTGCATGTATTTGTGCCCGTGAATTTACATATCGAGACAGCAACAAACAAATTATCTACCGCTGCCAACTGATCAACGAACCCGCAAGCCCCAAGCCCCAATCCTACGTGATTTGCATATCAATTTGATAAGTAATTTATCAAAGTGCGCAGCACAACACGTTACGAGTCGGGCCGAGAAGTCAGGTCAGTTAGTCAGCTGATTGATTTTTTAATTAGCAACAATTCACAATTCGAATAGGGGTAAACATTTGCACAGAGGCTGCAGCTTTTCTTATGGCCATGCTAAACTTAGGCGTCACTTTCACATGTTGCCTGTCAAACATTTAAACAGACAGTTTATCTGCCTTGTAAATATTTGCAATGCACAGTGTGGGTCAACGCCAAAGCAATTGATGATTGACAGTTATGCTTATATCCAATATTTATAATTTATTGCCGGCATTGCCAACTGTATGTTGACAACAACCTGTCAATTTAGCATGGGCCTTGACAAGCACATAACTAATCATGCCTAAATGCAAATCTATTCAAATACATGCAAACCCGTACACACATACATATGGTAATAAGTGCTTTAGAGATATGTTTGTCCATTATTTATGCTGCTTTTGGTATTTGTTTGTGAGCTTAGCTTTCATTTTTTCTTTTTTTGTAAATTCCTTGTGTCAATACAGTTTGAGTAAAAGCAAAAGCTGAACTTAATTAAGTAACATTTAGTGCGTAAAATTAACAAATCGTACACATTAAAGGCAATGTACGATTGTAATTAAATATTGTGCGCATTAACTTCTAAACATTCAACTAATACGTTAAGTTTCTGTCGAGATTTACTTGTACAGACATACTTAATAATACATTTATTAACATGTTGCCCGTTTAGAGAAAGGGAGAGTGAAGAAGCAGAGAGCGAAGGAAAGTGCAGGAACTATATTTGTTACATTTTGTGGAGTCGGGAATGTGCACTTCAAAAGAAGTCTGAAGCATTTACAAATGCAAATGGAATTTGTAGGTTTGAACAGTGTTCGCTAATCGAAACATTTAATACTGACACATTGTGCAGCACTGGAAAAGCAACATGATTGCAATGTTTTCCACACTAGAAACAAGGAACAGAACTCCTATTTTAAGTTAATAAATATGTATATAGCTTTAAAGAATTTACGGAGACTTTTCTCTTTCGGACTCCCTTTTCACTCAAAATAAGCAAGTGAAATTGTTTTTTGGCACCTTAAATTGTTATCTATGTATATTTGACGAGTCCTTTTTCTTTAAAGAATTTTGGAAAACTTGATGTGAGATCTATTGAAGTCCCTGCTGATTGGTTAAAAAACAGTTGAAAGTTTTGTGATTTCAGAGAATTTCTGTGAGTGAAATTTATAAAAAAAAAAATGCATGAATACAATCGGCAGAACATCTTAATAAATGTATATACATATGTATGTGCATGCATACTGAATTAAGATTTGTGACACATTATTCACTTAACAACTACATATTTAGGGGGGCATGCATATGGTCTTGTCATGAAGTGCAAATCAAAGGACATTGAATAACGGAAGCGCGTTGCTGCATTAGAATACATTCGGTAAATTACATACGATATATGACTTCAATGATAACAAAATCAAAATAAACACAAAGCTAAAACAATGCTTAGAAACTAATAAAAAAAAAAGGAATTTAATTGAATTAAATTGAATTAGTTATTGCACTTGGAAAACAGCTCTAACTTAAATACACATTTATAATAATTCTTATCTCTTTTTTTTGCTTTTTCAGTTTTTTTTTTTTTTGTTTCAAGTTATCGCAGCTGCCAAAATAGTTGGATCGCAGATCCATTCAAGGGACAGCTGTACGTAAGTAATTGATGCACTGTTTACATTTATCAATATCAATATAAATTGTGTAAATACATATGTCTTGTGTATACACATATATAGTATGTGTGTGTGTGTGTGTGTGTGTGTGTGAGTGTGAGTGTGTGTATCAACTACATTGTTCATGGGATTAACCGAATATCGTATTTGGAATATCGTAAGTTATGGGAGTTTTGCAATACATTGCTTTATCTCGAGGTTCTGGTTCGCAATAACTATTTTAAATAGTCTTTAGTTTTTAGTTTATAGACTTTTGTTGTTGTTTGAAATAACATTTTGGCAACGCTTGTTACATGTTTGAACATTATTAAAAACGCTTTCTTCGGATGATGATTTTCGCACTTCGTTATCGTAAAAGTTTATCAATTTGTTGTTTAGGTATGTTTAATATATATATATATATATATATATATATATATATATGTATATATGTATATGTATATATGGTACTATAGAATACGTTTGTATTTGTATTGTTTGTTGTTGTGCATACATACAATAATAAAAATAATTATATTCAACTTAGTTAACTACACGATGAGGAGTTACAAATTCGTTTCGGACATGTGTGTGTGTGTGACAATGTTTACAAAATATCATTCGACACGTTCATCGACTTTAAGAGGTAAACAATATAAAATACAAATTTAAAGAAAAACTAGTTCGACAGTTTCGCGTTTACTCGTTCTAAACTTGGTTAAAACTCACATATTTTTATCGTTTTTTGTTTTGTTTTTCTCAATTTAAAACTTACATTAAATATGTTGGGTACATAAAATCCTTCATGTTTGACTTTAATAATGTGCATATATATATATATATATATATATATATGTGTGTGTATATAGATACAATACTTGTAAGTGAAATACATATGTATCATTTATCAGCTGCTTTGTATATATATATATATATATATATATATAAATATATATATATATAAATATGTGTGTGTATATATGTGTACTTAGTGAACGCCCGTTTACACGATGTGAAGAAAAAAAAAACTATACATATCAATAAATAAATATTAGTGGTATTTCTTTGTTGTTTAACATAACAGCAATATACTTATATAAATACATACAATGAAGTAGAAAAAAAAATAATAATGACAATAATAATTATTAATAATCGTTAAAAACATAGATAATATTATATTATAAATAGGTAATATGCTTTAATTGAATTTCAACTAATTATACATTTATTGACACGCCCCAAGGATACCCATCGACGCACCACAGCCGACTTTGTGACCCGAGCATACATAGCTAGTTATGTAAACATATACATCAACCGATTATATATAAATATACATGTATATATATAAGGATTCAAATAGTTATCTATCATCCTCGTCTATACACATGTTTATGCATATATGTTGATATAATTGCATGCAATTATTTTATCCGTACCGTGTGCCGCCTGCTCTGAATATTATGTGGACAGCTCCGT